CTCCCATTTTTAGCTTTGGATGATTCATTCACAAGAAAAAACAGACATACCACGATGTGAACTAGTCCAGTAGGTTTCAATCAAAAGTTTATTCTGAATCCAGCTAGATATTTTCATCCATCTGTTTGAATCCTGTTGCCTACATGCCACTCACTGGGCTTGCGATTTCCCTGTGTCTGAAACCCTGCAGGGACGTGTCTGCTCTAGGAAAAAAAATTTTTTTAAGTGCTTCCACTGGGCAGTGATAAATCAGGCGCTCTATCCCAAGAAGGAAGTGATCCATCCAGATCAGGGTTGATGCTTCAGTGTCAGAGCAAATAATCAAGTCACTTCATTCTCCTTGGGAGAACATTTGCCGTACTGCTGTCCAGCACTATCTTGCTGCAACGTTTGCAAAGTGCTTTTGACAACAACTCAGGAGGCATCAGAGACAAGGATTACATGAGGGCCAAAAGCAAGACGTGAACCATTCAACCCATCTCAATTCACACAGACTATCAGTGCACCATCACTTAGCTAGATTTTTTTTACATTTGTTAGAATGAAGACTCAACTGGTTCTATTGTAATGTAAGATATGACTCCAGATTTCTTCATATGGACTTGCTATACAACCTGAATTGTTAGAATTAGAACAATCATATAACAGAACATTTTTGCAGGACATAGTTTGTATGAGCTATTATGGTTGATTTAATAAGTTAAATAGACACAGAAAGTTACTTTGGGGAAAGATTTTATCAAATTAATTGGAGATCTGACCTTTCAGTTCCACAACCAGAATAAATAACTGTTTTCATTTGTCAACACATTCACACCGTTCTGACATTCTGTACTGCCACATAAGAGCAATACAAAACTTACACAGAAATCACGCTATACCATCGTCCTCCACAGTTACTTTGCTGAATGATTTAATGGATTTTGAACAGAGTCTTTAATGATAAGGCAGACATTAAAAAAAGAGAATGTCTGTACAAATGCAATGTCATTAACTTGTACTAACTCCTAGAATCCCCATTTCTACCGTGAAGATTCACGTGTTTGGATAAGGGCTTGTGCCATCCTCAACCTCGCATTACCTTTTGTTTGAACCTGCAGTGAAGTCATAATCCTAGCTTTGTGAAATCACAACACGTTGCTATGGAAATTATGAAATCCCCATTTAAAGGGAAAGTATCTTCAGTCCCTCCGCCCCCCCACAAATTTCTGATCAGCACTATCCACCAATCCAGGTGTACATACGGCACAGATTTTACATTTTAAGTCTCTTCCCAGAGAGACAAGGTGGGTGAGGTAGTATCTTTTACTGGACCAACTTCTGTTGGTAAGAGAGACAAGCTTTTCAGGTACACAGAGTCTGGCAAAGGGCTCTGGGTATCACAGCCAAATACAAGATCAAACAGCACATATTCTAATTACTTATGCTAAAGTACAGGACCATTCAAGGTGAAGTGGCCTGTTAGCACCCTGCAGTCAAAGGATAAAAAGAAAGGGGAGTTAGTGGGTTGCAAATTGTTGAAATAAGCCATATTTCATTTAATAAAGACACTGGATTTATTGCTTATTTCAACGATCTGTAACCCCTAACCCCCCTCCTTTTTGTTCTATGACTACAGGGGTGTTAACGGGTCACTTCCCCTAGAGTATGTGCTATGGGACCATTCATTCTGTCTGATCTTGTATTTAGCTGTGACACTCTGAAGGCTTGTCTTCATGTACAGTGCTACAGTGGCGCAGCTGCTAGCCCTTTAAGCCATGTCTACACTAGCGAGCTTACAGTGGCCCAGCTGTTCTGATGCAGCTGCACCACTGTAAGATCACTCATTTAGCCATTCTGTAAAACCACCACCACAAGCCACGGTAGCTATGTCAGCCCATCGACATAGTGCTGTCTATGTGGTGCATTGCTCAAGGCATGGATTTCACACCCATGAGCAACGTCGTTACACCAACATAGGTCTGTAGCGCAGACCTGGCCTGAGTACCTTTCCAGACCTGAAGAAGAGCTCTGTGTAGCTCAAAAGCTTGTCTCTCTCGCTAACAGACGTTGGTCCAAGATATTACCTCACTCATCTTGTCTCTGTAATATCCTGGAACTTACACTGCTACAACAACTAGGCTCTTACCAGCCTGCCAAAACATGATTCTCCTGTCCCACACACCAAAGGGAAGACGTATGTTCTTTTGCAACAGGCCCTAGAGGCCAACATAACACAGGAAATTAGATTGTAGAGTGGATTTATACCAAACTGTTGCTCTATCCTGTGCAGTCCTTGCTACTGTTGTGGGACACTGTTCATACACCTTCTACACACCTGATGATCTGATAAGATAAGATAACCAAGCGGAGTGCCCCAAGGGTTGGTCCTGTGGCCGGTTTTGTTCAATATCTTCTTTACCGATCTGGAGGATGGCGTGGATTGCACCCTTAGCAAGTTTGCAGATGACACTAAACTGGGAGGAGTGGTAGATACAGTGGAAGGTAGGGGCAGGATACAGAGGGACCTAGACAAATTAGAGGATTAGGCCTAAAGTAATCTGATGAGGTTCAACAAGGACAAGTGCAGAGTCCTGCACTTAGGACAGAAGAATCCCATGCACCGCTACAGACTAGGGACTGAGCAGCTAGGCAGCAGTTCCGCAGAAAAGGACCTAGGGGTTACAGTGGACGAGAAGCTGGATATGAGTCAACAGTGTGCCCTTGTTGCCAAGAAGGCTAATGGCATTTTGGGCTGTATAAGTAGGAGCATTGCCAGCAGATCGAGGGATGTGATAATTCCCCTCTATTTGGCATTGGGTAAGGCCTCATCTGGAATACTGTGTCCAGTTTTGGGCCCCACGCTATAAGAAGGATGTGGAAAAATTGGAAAGAGTCCAGGAAAGGGCAACAAAAATGATTAGGGGGCTGGAGCACATGATTTATGAGAAGAGGCTGAAGGAACTGGGATTATTTAGTCTGCAGAAGAGAAGAATGAGGGGGGATTTGATAGCTGCTTTCAACTACCTGAAAGGGGGTTCCAAAGAGGATGGCTCTAGACTGTTCTCAGTGGTACCAGATGACAGAATGAGGAGTAATAGTCTCAAATTGCAGTGGGGGAGGTTTAGGTTGGATATTAGGAAGAACTTTTTCACTAGGAGGGTGGTGAAGCACTGGAATGGGTTACCTAGGGAGGTGGTGAAATCTCCTTCCTTGGAGGTTTTTAAGGTCAGGCTTCGCAAAGCCCTGGCTGGGATGATTTTGTTAGGGATTGGTCCTGCTTTGAGCAGGCTGTTGGACTAGATGACCTCCTGAGGTCCCTTCCAACCCTAAAATTCTATGATTCTATAATAAGACAGAAAATATCATAGTATCACAATATAAATCTATGGTATGTCCACAGCTTGAATACTGCCCCATCTCAAAAAAGATATATTAATATTGGAAAAAGAACAGAGAAGGGCAAAAAAACTTACAGGTATGGAACAGCTTCCGTATTAGAAGAGATTAAAAAGACTTAGACTGTTCATCTTACAAAAGAGACAACTAAGATGTGATGTTAAAGGTGTATAAAAGGTGTGAAGAAAAAGTGTTATTTACTCCCTTCACATAACAAAAGAACCAGGGGGCACCCTATGAAATTAATAGGCAGCAGTTTTAAAAACCAGCATACGTAAGTATTTCACATACCGCACAGTCAAGCCATGGAACAAACTGCTATGGGATGATGTGAAGGCCAAAAATGTAAGTAGGTTAAAAAAAAGAATTAGATAAATTTGTGGAGGATAGGTCCATCAATGGCTATTAGCTAAGATGGGCAGGGACACAACCCCATTTTCTGGGTGTTCCAAAGCCTCCGATGGCTAGAAGCTAGGACTGGACAACAGCAGATGGGGCACTGGAAATTGCCCTGTTCTGTTCATTCCCTCTGGAGCATCTGCCACTGGCCACTGTCGGAACACAGGATAGTGGGCTAGATGGACCATTGGTCTGACACAGTATGGCCATTCTTATGTTCTTATGGACCAAGGCAGAGCTTATTGTGTGTTTAGGATAAAGGTGGAGGTCCTAGTTTTATTTTTATTTGTATTACGTTAGCGCCTACAGACCCACCTTTTGCTATAAAGAGACAGTCCACTCCCCCAAAATCTTAAGTCTAAACAGACAAGACAAAGTTTGAGATGGGAAGCCAAGGCACAGAGCAACGTAGTGACTTGCCCAAGGTCTCTCAGAAGGTCAGAAGCAGAGCAGAGAATAGAACCCACTGTTTGGATGGAGTGAATGTAAATACCTTACAATTGAGAACAGGAACAGCCCCAGGCATTTTGCCAGCCAGGGTGGAGAATGTTGTTGGCATCCTAACCCACCTCCAAGCAGCTGAGAGAATTTAAAAAAAAAAAAAAAAGCAAAAAGCCATCTCCTGGGCAAACAACACATTTTCTTGAATATTTGCTCCCATTTCTGTGGAGTGTCTATTGTGGAGCATAGGACTGTAGAACTTGGACTGCAACCCCCAGGACAGCTACACAGGGGGAAGGCTAGTGCGGACACAGTCACATTCAGGTCAGAGCCTAGCCAGCAAGATTTCTCATCCATTTTTAGCCCACTCTTGAATTAGCTTTGACAGCTTTTATTTTAATATCCCTCAGTTCTGGGACTTCAGGGGACCACCAAAACCCTTTAGCAAACACCATAGGGCCCTACAGCTCGGAATACACACACGCACACTCCCCTAACTGCAACCTAGGAACCATGGATGTCCAGGGCCACATAATCCTAACCCACAAACCTTTACTACCCACAACCTCCTAGGCCCCAACCAAGTTCTCACAAATATTCGGATACTGAGTTAGGAGTCGGGAGCCAGACTCCCTGGGTCACCAGCAACCCAGCTTCCCCCATACCCTCGGCTCACCCAGCCCCCGCCCTCAAATCAGGCCGGTGGGAGCCGTTCACAGCTGTGCTGGCTCGGGAAGTCACTGCCTGGGCCTCCCCCCCGCCAAAGCCTCCCCCGCACTCACGCGTTCCCCACGTGGATGCGGGGTGCCACCTCGTTGCTGTGCGCGCTGGGGAGGCTGTAGCAGCCGCTCCCGTTAGCCAGCAGGTCGTTCAGCTCCTCCACTGAGATCTGATAGTCGGACATGGCCAGATCGAGGCCACTCCTTGCAGCCCCCACTCTTACTCCGCAGCTCCAGGCAGGGCCTTGCTTCTCTCCCCCCACGAGCGCTGGGCTGAGCCTGATAGGAGGGGCTGGGATCAGCTGGTTCTGCCAGCAACACCCAGCAGCCGGGCACAGAGGGGTCACTTTGAGCATGAAAGCTGCACGCCCCGCGGGGGTGATTTTTCCTTGCCCCGCTACTCCCCGAGTCCCGCTGCCCCCCATCCTGACGCCTCCTCCGGGGGAATCGCGCCCCACTGTCCGTCCCTCCCCTCAGCCCCCGGACAGGGCACCGCAGCCCCGGGAACCGGCAGCAGGTGTCGAGTTCGCCTCCAGCTCTGGGCCCCCGCCCGCCCCATGGAACTTTGTGTGTCGTTGTGTGGCCGGGCTGGGAGGCGGTGTGTGTCGTTGTGTCCCCCGGCTGGGAGGCGCTGTGTGGCCGGGCTGGGAGGCGCTGTGTGTCGTTGTGTGTCGGGGTTGGAAGGCGCTGTGTGTCGTTGTGTGGCCGGGCTGGGAGGCGGTGTGTGTCGTTGTGTCCCCCGGCTGGGAGGCGCTGTGTGTCGTTGTGTCCCCCGGCTGGGAGGCGCTGTGTGTCGTTGTGTCCCCCGGCTGGGAGGCGCTGTATGGCCGGGCTGGGAGGCGCTGTGTGTCGGGGTTGGAAGGCGCTGTGTGTCGTTGTGTCCCCCGGCTGGGAGGCGCTGTGTGTCGTTGTGTGGCCGGGCTGGGAGGCGCTGTGTGTCGTTGTGTCCCCCGGCTGGGAGGCGCTGTGTGTCGTTGTGTCCCCCGGCTGGGAGGCGCTGTGTGTCGTGTGGCCGGGCTGGGAGGCGCTGTGTGTCGTTGTGTCCCCCGGCTGGGAGGCGGTGTGTGTCGTTGTGTCCCCCGGCTGGGAGGCGCTGTATGGCCGGGCTGGGAGGCGCTGTGTGTCGGGGTTGGAAGACGCTGTGTGTCGTTGTGTCCCCCGGCTGGGAGGCGCTGTGTGTCCTGCACCCTGCGCCGGGATCGCTCCCGGGCCGCTCTGCGCCGGCCGGGCCGGGCCGGGGGCGGGCGCTAATTGGGCGTGTTTTGCTTTCTCCGGGACTTTCACAGCATGGCCCGGGGAGGAGGCGGTGGGACGGGACTCCAGGGCGGAGCTGGGGCACCGGGCGCCTCTCCCTGGCAGTGCGGGGCGCGGAGGCAGCTGCGCAAGGCCCGGCCTCGGCGCCGATCGAGGCGATGGCCACGCTGAAGCTGCTGATGGTTGGGGACAGCGCGGTGGGGAAGTCCAGGTGCGGAACGCGCTCCGGGAGCGGCGGGGCCGGTTTCGGGGGTGGGGGTCCTGGGAGGCCGCTGGGCCTGTGCGGCCTGCTCACCCGTCTCTGCTTTTCCCGCAGTCTCTTGCTGAGATTCACCGATGACACGTTTGAGCCGCACTTGAACCCCACGATAGGTGAGTGCTGCGAGCTTCCCTGGCCGGGCTCCGGGGGATCTCTTAGCTCTCGTGCGCGAGCTCCAGGCCGCCCCGGGGGAGTCCCCCAAACCTGCAGCGTTACAGGGGGTAGGAGGTTGAAATAGGGCAGGTGTAAGGAGCCAGGGCCAGCGATGACACCGGCTGTAGGGATCCGGATTTGGGAGAGGGAGGAGGAGCGCGGCAGAGGCCTCCTAAAGGGGATCGCGAGGCTTTCATAACTGGCTGTTATGACCACACGCAGCCTGTGTTTGTTCATGCGTTTTCTCCGTGTGAGAGGCTGTGTACACCCTGTGCTGTGAGGGGACTGTACCTCTGCCGTGTCGCGAGGTACCAAATGTTGGCGAACTTCATAGCAACTAAACTAAACGCAGAGAAGCAGCCGCGTTAGTCTGTCGCAAAAAGAAAAGGACTACTAGCTGCACCGTAGAGACGAACCAATTTAGTTAGTCTCGAATAAGGTGCCACTAGCACTCCTTTTCTTTAAACGCAGAGAGTAGCAAAGCCTCTCGCTGGGTTTGTCCTGACATTGCTTCCCTCTCTTTTGCATACCAGGTGTTGATTTTAAAGTTAAGAAAATGATGGTTGATGGCAATCCAGTGCAACTTGCAATATGGGTAAGTTTTGCCCAGGACGGATAAAGACAAAAAGCCTGCCCTTTTATATTACTAAAGTTTGCTGTACTTTAAAACAGTGTTTAGTAGTGAATGGGTATGCGGCATACACAGTATCTTGAGTATTTAAGTACCATGGTTCTGCTACTGTAAAATTGTGTGAAGTGGGCTAGGCTCCTTTTTTGAAAAGCTTGTCACATTTCATCACTTTCATCCTGAGGTTTATTTCCACTGCAGCATAAATTCCAAGGGCTCACTCCTGCCATTACATATGCAGCTGGGATTCACTTCAGGTGAACAGATAGCAAGTGATAAGGGGTGTGTGTGTGTGTGTGTGTGTGGAGGGGGTAATATGTGCCTAAATAAGACACAGCTTCAAATATCAGGTCTGTCCCTAAAAAATCGGGACATCTGGTCAGCTTAGCTTCACTCGTTCTTCTGGACTGCTCTGCTGTGCATTAATGGACTTGACAAGACACAGCCATGCATGAAAGGGGAGGGTTGAGCCCCAGGTAGACAACCCTTGAACAGCCAAGACCTAATGGGGATGAAATGCCCAAAACAGCTACTGTATGGATTTGGCAGTATTATTTCTATTAGCTGTTTTGCATTGAACTCACGGAGCACCATGCTGAAAACAAACTCTAGACAGTTTTATTTCGACACTTGCCATGCATTGCCCCATTCCATCAATTAATGGGAAAGGGGAATTTAGTGTTGTAATCTCTGTTTAAGGCTAAAGACCTATTTTCAGAGGGTCTGAGCCTTCGCCCACAACTGTTGGCTTCAGTGGAGGAATTCAGAACCTCTGAAAATTAGGACACCAGACTACAACTGCATGGGAAGTATAATTATAATATTTTTAAAGCTTCCTCTCCACACCCACATCCACAGTACTTGGTGCTCAGTGCAACAGAATGATCATGTTCTAAAATACCCCAAATAAAAATCTATTTAAAAATGTCCCACTTAAAATTAAAAGAAAAACTTGAAACTTTCTCACTCTCCCAAAAATATATTTATACATGATGCCTATTATTCTCCTCTCTGTTTGTTTTCCGCCCCTCTCCTCTTTCAGATCCTCAGCTTTTCTTGTTTAAGTGAGGTGAGGGAGACTGAAATTAAACTCAGGAAGAGAAGGCTCCATACACATGAGGGCACAATTGTCTGTCAGCCTCAGATCTAAAAGGTGGATTGTGGGGGGGTAGATGCTCATATGCATGAGACCTCGTATACATTATCTTGGACCAATACTATTAAGGCTTTAAAATAAAAACAAAACAAAAAATGCTATCATAGGTAACCTGCCAGTTTGCATAATTTACACACTGATTGTATATAAAGCAGGAGTAATACAATCATGGTTGTTCAAACCAGGGAGGAAATATGCTTCTTGCATTCTGAACAAGTTGCAAGCAAAGAAGCAGCTCTGCCAAGAGGGAATTCAAATAACCAAGCCTCAGTCACAAGGCTGTGTCTTGCTGTTCTGAGCTTAAAATCAAGGGCAGAGCCTGTGCAAATTGTGCTACTGAAAAAGATACCTTTGCAGCAGTATGTTAACAGCATCAGGAGAAATCACTCATTACTGACGTGAAGCTGTATTATATAAAAGAAAATCCATAAACAAGCCGCCAATCCCCAGAAAGATGTGCAGAGTCCATCTTTGTTTAAGGTTTATGCCAGTTTACTGTGTACTGTGCATAGGTACTCTGATGACTGGTGCTCTGTAAAAATTAAAAATCATAGATAAGGTTGAAAATAATAAATTTGTTTTTCCGGCTGTTCTGGAATTAGTATTTGGAAAACAAATAAGATTTCAAAAGCTTGGTGGGGAAATTGGTCATCTCTAGAATATCAAACAGACTTGGAACATAGCACTTGCCCTGCATTCTGTGTACTTTACAATTTCATAAAGGCTCAGCAGGGAATGTTCTGAAATTCCCTGTGGCTGTATGTGATCTGCCTTAGCATGCCAGATGTTAAAGCAGAGCTGCTTATTTCTAAGAACATCACTTTTGTGTAGTGGCTTTAAAATCTTTCCTCTTCTTTTCCATTAGTCAGGTATCCAGGAGAAATTTTTTAAGTGTTTATTTTACTAAGATTGCATCAGACACTGCAGGATTTTCATTATTATTAAAACTGAGGATAACATTTAGAAGCCATTTCTTTTTTGTTCTTTCATATTGACAGTTGCATTGGTACAAAGGAGTGCTCTGCTGTTGTATCCTTTTGTACTTGGAGGTTTAAGGGTATAATAACAAACTGCTTAATAAAAACAGGTCAGCCCTTGTAAGTGAATACCATGCCAAACCTATGATTGAATATTTGCTTAACAAAGTAGAGAAATTACATGATGGTGTAGATGTCCAGCATGTCTAGGTATTGTAATCCTTACATATATTTAAATGGAAATTTCTGAGGCAGACTCATAGACTTTCAGGCCAGAAGGGACCATCGTGATCATCTAGTGTGACCTCATTGCAGGCCACAGAACGTCACCCACCCACTCCTATAAGGAACCCATAATCTCTGGCTGAGTTACTGAAGTCCTCAAAACATGATTTAAAGACTTCAGGTTACAGAGAAATCCACCATTTACACTAGTTCAAACCAGCAAGGACCTGTTCCTCATGCTGCAGAAGAAGGTGAACCCCTGCCCCCCCGCGAGTCTCTGCCAACCTGGCCCTGGGGGAAAATTCCTTCCTGACCCCAAATATGGTGATGAGTTAGACCCTGAGCATGTGGACAAAATCCACTAGCTAGACATCTGGGAAAGAATTCTCTGTCATAACTAAGAGAGCTTCCCAACTAGTGTCCCATCACGGGCCGTTGGAGACATTTGCTACTTGCTGTTGCAGATTGACTATATGCCATTGTAGGCAGTTGCATCACACCACCCCCTTCCTAAACTTTACAGGCTCAGTCTTGAAGCCAGTTAGATTTTTTTGCCCCCATTACTCCCCTTGGACGGCTGTTCCAGAACTTCACTTTCACTCCTCTGATGATTAGAAACCTTTGCCTAATTTCAAGCCTTAAATTTATTGATGGCCAGTTTATATCCATTTGTTCTTGTGTCAACACTGGCACTTAACTTAAATAAAAGAAATCGTGGGTAAAATTTCATATTCCTTTGCCCCTTTATAGTCCTTTCTGTGCGGGTTTGGATTTCATAATGCACTCTGGAAATGTTTGAAGTCTTTCTGGAGGGAAATATAGGGTATTGCACTAATAATTGAATTGACCTGTAAATAACTTTTAATCTAATTTCTCATCTGCTTGGGATCCTGCTAGCCTCAAAATGTTTTACACATACCGGGCCCTCTTCTTCTACTGCAGGATAAGCCAATAGAAGAATCAAACCCACTGTCTGCTCCTCCTGCCTGCAGTGTAGTGTCTTGCACTGGATGAATATTTATTCCCATTTCCTCACCTCTTCCACTTCCAACCGTGCTCATTGTATATATAGTATTATTTTGCTTGCAGTATTATTCCCTTATTTATTTTTAAATGGCCTTCCAGATCTGAGTCCCATTGGCTTTTCTCACCTCTTTACTCTGGTTCAGAGGCTGACATCCTCTTTAACTTTAAACTTCAATTATAACCTCTCTTTTTTCATGGTTTTTCTTTTCATCTCATCACTTTTCCAAATATTTGTTGCCTGTTTCCCTGACTCTACATCGCCTATGCTTTATGTATCCTAATCGCAGGATTCCAGGTCAAAGCAGTGTTAACTTTTTCTGTTTATGCCGCATATTGCAAATTACCCTTTAGTTCTAAATCTTTTTGGTTTTTCCTCTGTAGGATACAGCGGGACAGGAACGGTTTAGAACACTGACTCCCAGTTATTACCGAGGAGCTCAAGCTGTTATTTTAGGTAGGAGGAATATGATTAGCACAACTGTGAAATCATTATCACTAACTAAATTTTAATACCTCTTTACCAAAAGTAGTGGTATTCACTTAAAAGGCAAGAGGAGAAATTAACATGGTTTTAACAATATGCCTGCTCCACTAGGCTGAGTTTTGGCTCCTAACCTTTATCAGCAGGAAATGATGAGTCTTCAGAACATTTTATACTGAAAAGCTGTAGACTTTATATTACAGACAGCTCAACCATTGAGCAGATGCATTCTCAGCTTTATAGTAATTTCTGTTTGGAGTGTTTCTGGTTACAAAGCAAATTGTTTTCCAAGTCTGCTTTTCCTGAGACATTTTTATTTCCCTCTTCAGAAACAATATCAAATGTGCCTGGTGAAAAGCACAAATAACTTATGGCAGGTCCCATTCTTTGTGATCACATGAGTTGAAAAAATCTGATTCCTATTGTCAAGTGATTATGAAAGCTGAATAACCTGCTATACAGAATATACATTCCTTCTGTGGTATGGTCTGCCACTCTATTCAACTAATTAGTGATAAGTAAGCACAGTTGTGGAGTTACCAATAACCAGAAGTCTCTTTTTAAAAGAGTACTGAAAATTCCAAATGTCTGTTGCTAACCCACACATGAACACACTCCGCTGCCCCCTTAAATACATAACTTTCTATTTTAAAATGTCCTGCAGTTCCACTGTCAGCTCTTGAATTCAAGGCTAGTAACAGCATAAAGCCCCAGCTGTTAGGTTGGGTTCCCCAACCTTAAATATTACAGGAACAGGTGTTTGTTTCCTATCATCACTATACTTACTCTGAGTCATCAGGGATTAGAATTGCCATTCCTACTGTCCGAGAGATCACATCTACTACTCCTACAATTATCTGAAAGTAATCTCAAATGAATAAAGACATAAGAAATGAGGGCAGCACTAATGCAGTAAAAATAGCCCAGGAATCTGCAGTTGACCATGTCCCTTTCTTTTGTTGCTAGTGTATGATGTCACGAGAAAAGACACTTTCACAAAACTAATGACCTGGCTGAACGAGCTGGAGACGTATGCTACGCGGAGCAACATTGTAAAAATGTTAGTTGGCAATAAAATTGACAAGGTCAGTTTAGAGCTGTGTCATCTTATGCTCATACACTTGGTTCTCATTCGTGGTCAGTAGGTGTTTCCTATGCACCAGGAGGCTCACAGCCCTGCATGCAGCATACCTGGTCTGTGCCGCTTTGACTGAAAAACCTGAAATGGGGCAGGCTGGAGATCTCCTTTCCTTGCTGCCTCCTCTTAGAGGCAGAAGGTTGTTTGGGAATTTTGTGCAAAATTTTGTGACATGATCTAAATCAGGTGAGCTGTTGTAAAACAAGATTAAGAATGGAGAGAGCAAATCATATTTAATGAAAAGAAACTACACTGGAACTCTTCCTGAGCATCTCTAGTGAAGTGCCATCCGAGTTACAAGACCCCACCCTCTCTCCCCTGCTGTCCCTTCCTCCTGACCCTTTGGCCAAACGGTATGTCTTAGACTCAGCCTCTGGGTCTCCCTGTAGGTGTTACCTCTGGGTTTCAGATCTGCTGTCATTCTCCCTCCTCGTCTGACTCATAGCACTGTTAAACTGTTTAGTTTTCTTCAATGGGCCTCATTTCCCATCTTAACTACTGCAGCCTCCTCGTCGCTCGCCTCCCTAACACACACCTCACCCCCTCCAATCGGTTCAGAAGGCAGTGACTAGAATCGTCTTTCTTGCTCATCGCTCTGACAGCATCACTCTCTCTGAATGCCTCCACTGACTCGATCTGTATCATCACACTGCGTTCAAGCTTCTTGTGCTTGCCTTCAAGGCCCTTTACAGTTCTGCTCCTTCCTCCTTGTCCACTCTTGTCATGTTATCTCCTGAAGACGCTTCCAGCCTTGTCTACCCGTTTGTCAGCCTCACACACTAACATCTCCACTCTTTCTCCTACACTGGTCTTTATGAACAACTCCTCCTTTAGTCTAACGATCCAGTCAGTGATTTAACCGCTCTGCAGGTGAAAACTTGGTGTCTGAATCTGTGTTTCCTCTGTGAGTCAAATATTTCTTTAGTCACTTTTCAACTAACTAAAACTTTCGTGAATCTCACCCTGTTCTTCAGAATCAATCAGAGGTAACAGACAAAGGTCAGTTGACTCAAAATTCTGTATCTGTCCAGTTATTACCTTCCTGATTTTTACCATCTTTTAGACCCTTTAATTTTTTCTGTAGCTATTTTGAAATGCTGTAGTGGATCCAGGGATCTTTCCACGATTATATTGCTCTCAGTATCAGTACAACTATGATATTTTTAAACCAGTGTTACAGTGGTTGTAAAGCCTAATGGAACCATTCAGTCATTTATGATCACCATATAGACTTATGGATTTGCAGCAACAATTCGATGTGTCTGGAGGAGTTTTAGAAAATATACCCATAATGACACTTTTCCTTGGAGTTCCCAAGATCTGGCAAGTATAGCATATTTTACTTTTATTCTTTTCTTTTCTCTGCAGCCAGATCGTGAGATAAACAAAACAGAGGGACTCCAGTTTGCTAGGAAACACTCAATGCTCTTTATAGGTATGCAGTTCTTTGCCAATAAAGATATACAAATAGGATAGTTATTTTGTTGCAGCTGAGCATGAATGAACAGAATGCCGCTCTCCTCCAGGCCATTATTCTTTGTTACTCTTGGGCTATTGCAGCTACAGATGGCTGAAAGCAGTGAGTACCTTTCAGATTCACCTTTCGTTAAATTAACATGACTCCTTTACTGCCTTGGTGTCTTATGTGTGCACAGAGAACCTTATTTTCTGAGGTGCTGCATATTTACCTGATCTGGAGTTTTGGGTGCCTGAAAGTTAGGCCCATAATGTGTACCTAACAGATTGGCACCAGTCTAACCCTTATCTTGCAGACATTAATAATTTCAATTGAAAATAAGATTAGTGTCATTGACTGGGAGCCACATTTAAATCTGTGACTTAAAAGTAAGATGTGTTGTATTGTGTTCCCAAACCCCAGAGCCTTACTCTGCTCAGACTGGAATCTTTATCCGGGGCTGATACCCAGAATTTTGACCACTTCCTATTTTCCAACTTTGAGTTTTTTGTACAGTTATGGAGGTGAATTTATAGCCAATTGTAGAATGCAGTCTGTCTTGGGGAAGATGGTATCATGGTGAAGATGAGCAAAGATGCAATGAAATGAGAACCTACAAGTGGTGAAGCCTCTTGAAATGTAGGGTTGGAAGGACCTAAAGGGGTCATCTAGTCCATTGCCCTACAGTAAGGCAGAATTAACTATGAAGCAGAACAAATGAGTATAGGGAGAACTTTACATTCTAGAGCCATCTTTTTCTAAAAATATATTTGCAGGATCGATCACAACCTGAGGAGAAGTTTCAATTTAAAAATGCAAAAAGGAAGGGGAAACAATGGAGTTCCCTTTAGAGGTAATTAGACTCTTCAGGCTGCTGTGGGATGATTTGTCAGTAAACTCGAGCTCTGAGGAGGAAAAAAGTTCAGCTGCAAATAACAAAATAGCATCCCTTCCCCTCCAAAGATAATTGTTTTATAAAGCGGAAAATTCTGTGCAAAAAAAGGAATTATTGGTTTTACCCTCTTTCTAGAGACCAGTGCTAAAACACGGGATGGAGTACAATGTGCCTTTGAGGAAGTGGTCATAAAGATCTTACAGACTCCAGGACTTTGGGATACAGACAAACAAAAGTGCGGAGTCCAGTTGGAGACTGCAGCACACACAGAGGAAGACTTTTGTGGTGGATACTGTACACTTACTTAAATTCACAGATGCCTGTTCCATCCGACCAGCTGGACTTTCAGGCATGTTGCTAAGGGCTTCCAAAGACACAAACCAACTTCCATTCTGGACACATGTGATTTATGCTATGGGACCAACTCAGATGGGTTAGCTGCATACATTTATGAGTTCGTTTCAACACACCTGCCGGGTTTTAAAATAATAGATTTGATGGTTACTATATTGTCAAAAATGGAATGGATATTTATTTGCATGAATCATGGTGCCTCTTGCTCCGACATTCTTTGCTCAAAAACAGTTGTTACGCTTTTGTACTCTTCTTCCCTCTTATCTTCCCCTGTGTGTAACATACAATTTGATACTGAAATTTTCAACTTGCACTAAAATAAGACTATAGTGTCAGATAGCAGCAGAGTGTTAGTCGTCAGAGGGCTAATACTGGAGCCAAGCTGTCCAACCCACAGTCTTTACTGAAAAGCTTTCAATCGCTACAGTAAGCGTGCAAGGTCCTCAGGCAGCCACGTTCCCTTGAAGTGTTGAAAAGACACTTCCCATGCTACAATCTGGGATAATCACTGATTCTGCCTCCCTGGTTCAGGTACTTTTATGTGCTGGGACTTCCTCCGAGACCTTTTCCACTGGGCTTATCCAGAACATTTCATCCAGTTCTCTCGGATCCAAAAACTCAGTTCAACTCCAGCTCATCATTCAGGTTATTTCATTAGGCATGGAACAGTTCTATGCCCACACTAGCCAGGCCTAGACGCCAGTGGTTTAGATACAGGGTGACATCACAATTGCAAATCATATCACACACTACACATTTTTCTAGCTCCTAACAGCTATACTTTTTAAATGTAATTGGTTTGGACATCATACGGATCAAGTAAGGACCAGTTGCTTTGCTGATTGTGTAGGGCCCAATCACTTATGTCCTCACCTTAGCTACATTTTAAGCTTATCAGTTCAAAGTATTCCCACTTACCTCAGCTCGTCCCAAAACACTGTCTCCAGAAGTCAGCCTGTCATACCCTTGTTTTACAATTTAACCTTGCACTCAAATTGAGCTATATGTAAGTTTACTCATGACCAGCAAGATCTAGGCCTACACTATGTAGTATATGTTGCTGCTAACCATTCCCAAGTCGGATGTAATCTAGCTGCCTATCCAAAATACTCTGGGTGAGGACAGTCATCATTTCAGTGTCATACTCTTGAAGAGGTAGCCTTTTTCCATTAACTTCTCCTTTGCAAACCCAGGAGTTTACATGCAGCTCTGTGTAGATTTATGCCTCACTGTTTCTTACATAATTTCTACCACCAGCTAGGATCAGTGACTATTAAAACTGTATTGGTTTAGGCTCTAATTCCACAAGCCACTTCTACAGTGCAGATCCCCACTGCAATTAACAAGGCTGTGTGTGGGCCCAGTGGTCTGCCTGGGTGGAGTACCTTACAGGATCAGGAATGTAGTCAAGTCTCCCTTCAAACTGTAAATGTGATCAATACAAAATCTGGTTTAAAGCTATGTGACAGCAAGTGAGGTTCTACAGGATTTTCCACTGAAAATGAGATCCTTCTGTCCATTTTCTTACAATTTCCATAGTGGAGTTCTGGTAATTAGTTGCCACTTACCTTTATTATTTCCCATTACACTGAATCATTTCTCTTCATATAAGAGTTTGAGTTATGGACGCAGCTGTGGCTCTTCTAAAAACTTTGAAATTGCTGGGCCAGATTCTGACCCCAGGTATGTTGCCTTCTATAGAATTACTGCCAGGTTTCACTAGCAACTGAGACAAGAACCTGGCTGGTGGTTTTAACAGCCAAGCTCAGCCAGCAGAAGAGATCACTGTGACAGCAATAAATAAGTTAGATGCAGCAGGTTTTGCAAGAAGGTCCTCATGATTTGGGCTGATTTACAGAGGACCACGTGCACTGTGAGAACTCTCTTTTTATGGTTCTCTTTAGCTAAGCTACAAATGAATATCCAAAGGCTTCATGCTAGTTATGGTGTTTAAATTAGTCTCAAAAGTCTCTTATCCTGCTCTACCTAGCATGTGAGTGGAAGAGGGTGACCACTAGCGTGACACTTAGGAAAGTTAAGACAAATCAATTAAAGTAGTGAAGTCAGCATGCCTGAATTAAAACACATTCCATCCCTGTGTGGATGCTCTCATTCAGAAGTAAAGTTGCTTTAGTTCATTGTAGCTTATTTCTCCTTGTCCCATGCAGACAAGCCCTAACATTCATCCCTTGAATAACATAAAGGTCCGAAGCTTCTGTTGAATGAATAAGAAGAGAACAAAAGGGCATTTAAGGGTGAGAGTAGGTGGCGGGGGATTGGCTGGGATCAGGAGGAAATCTGAATTCATGGAATCAGAAATAGAAGAGACTGAGAAGGGCATCTTAGAGTTGCAGCTATAATACTTACCATAGAATCATATCAGGGTTGGAAGGGACCTCAGGGGGTCATCTAGTCTGACCCCCTGCTCAAAGCAGGACCATTCCCCAATTTTTGCCCCAGATCCCTAAATGGCCCCCTCAAGGATTGAGCTCACAACCCTGGGTTTAGCAGGCCAATGCTGAAACCACTGAGCTATCCCTCCCCCCAACATTATACTTAAGGTTGGCTTACCTTTCAGCCCTTAAAAATTACAGGCAGTGTTCCCTATGTGCATAGCTGTTTCTGAAGCTGTTTCTGAACTCCTATCACAAGTTCCAGAACTGCAGTGTGACCATGGGTGAGAGAGCATGTGTATGCACGCAGCACGTGTACAGTCATTGCTGCGTGCAGCTGCTTCCATTCTGTGACTGTCCTGCTGCCATGCCTAGATACTATGCTAACTGGTGCTATGTGAATACCATAGAGTCAGTAACTGGAGTCTACCACCCTCTCAGTAGGAGTTTGCTACTCATCAGCTACTGGACTAAATGTAACAAACTGCCTCTCCTACCGTACAAACCAGTAATATGCCCCAGCCTCCTTGTCTGTAATACTGAACGTCATTTCACAGTATTTGTATCTTCTCTCTACATCTGTCAGCATGGGCTCCAAGCTCTGTAGTAGCTATATGGACGTAAACTATTTAATGATTCCTAAAATATGCTGTTGCTTTAAAATAATGGCTGTTTAATAGCTCCCTCCTGTTGTAGTCTACTTTTGCACTTTAAATTAATTGTACTGGCAAGATCCTGCTACTCCACCCCCCACATATGGGTAAGTAGTATCAATAACTAAGCAGTGTGTAGGTCTCTAGCTACGCACTCTCATTATTACTAATTAGAATTAGACCACCCACATGCAGACATTTAAGAATGTACCCTGCCATGAAAAATGCACACCTTTATGTGCATGGAATATTACTGTAATAGAAAATAGTTTAATTGGTCTTTTTAATACAGTATTTTTAGAGTTTCAAATGGACACTCATATCAAACATGACCCCATCTTAGGTTTGATAAAATTAAACTTTTAAAAAACTGAAACATCATAGAAATGTCTCCATGAATGTTATGCATTCCAGTGGAAACGGCTTAGTTAAAAAAAAAAAAGTTGTTTGCTTTTCAACTATTTTATCTTTGAAGTAGTGCAAGAAAACCTAAAAATGAAATTGTCTAGAAGCCAACTATAAAGAAAAACAAAAGTCTTCAAGATGAGAGTTGCAAACAGTGCCCAAACAGCATAAACAGGAAACATCAGATAATTAAAACTGGAAGAATTTTAAAATTCAAACTGTTGTATGTAACATCTGAAGAAAATAATAATAAAAATCCCCTACTGAGTCTCACTATTAAAGACCACTGTCAAGTTAGAAATAATTATTGAATTTTAACTTTTAGTGTATAATAAAGCATTTGATGGTAATACCTATCAAGTCCATAAAAATAAATCACACGTTTTCTTTCTTAACGTTTTCTAATATGTTGCGTGTCATGTGTATTAGTGTAATACAACAAATGTAATATAAAATTATTTATTTATAAATATAAACATTCTGCTACTTGCCAGATTTGTCCTACCTTATTTTGAAGCAATTATGGGCCTGATTCTGTACTGTCTTGTTCCTTGTAGAGTCATTTTCATTTGTGTAAAATGGGTGTATAAAACTGCCACTGGTGTAAGTGAGTGGATAGTTCGGATATGCCTAAGTAAATGATGGTGTCAGGTGCAAAGCAGTTGGAGAATCAGCCCTTGCATGTTTTCCTGTACTGAAATCTGAGTCTGAAGAACATGCTACAAAGTCAGGGGGCACTTGATGAGCTCAATCAAACACAGACCAATGAGAAAATGTTTAAATCCTAAAGCAGCTTTTAAATATTCTTAGCAACAGCTGTAGAACCATGGCCTCTTAGAAAACCAGCCTAAAGAATAACATCTCACTTCACCTTACTGGCTGCAATGTATAAAATGTGACTATTGGAAAGATGGTGATTCAGGTCAATTCATCACAAAGTAAAAGAGAATGGTGGTTTGCTGGTGTGCCCCACCACAAATTCACATGCACAGTGTGTTACATCTCACAAAAGGGACAGCTGTTTCAGCCCTCAACAGTCGGTTTGCAGAATGTAAATGTTACATAATTCAGTCCTGTTCATATCTACTGTATATCACCACAAACAGGGAGTCCAGACAGAGGCAGGGAAACTGAGACGGAGCCCTGTATGTGAGCTAGTGAAGCAAGGAGGTTGAGTGGGTAAGCTCAGATGGGTATTTTGGGGGACTCTGGAGGAAGAAGTGAGATATCAGAAGACTGGGATGCATCTGAAAATTGTCTGGAACATGGATATGGTGTTATGATGCAGCAGGCAGGAGAGCCCTTAATGTGGGATGGGTGAGTGAGCAGAAGCTGAGAAGTAGGATGGGTCCAGATCTAATGCATCCAAGGATGCTGAGGGAGTTGGCTGATGTGACTGCAGAGTCATTGGCCATTATCTTTGAAAATGTATGGCGATCGGCGGAGGTCCCGGACAATTGGAAAAAGGCAAATATAGCGTCCATGTTTTTAAAAGGAAAGAAAGAGAACCTGGAGAACTACAGACCTTTCAGCCTCACTTCAGTCCCTGGCAAAATCATGGAGCAGGTCCTCAAGGAATCCATTTTGAAGCACTTGGAGGAGAGGAAAGTGATCAGGAACAGTCAACATGGATTCACCAAGGGCAAGTCATGCTTCACCAACCTGATTGCCTTCTATGATGAGATAACTGACTTTGTGGATATGGGAAAAGTGGTGGATGTGATATATCTTGACTTTAGCAAAGCTTTTGATATGGTTTCCCACAGTATTCTTGCCAGCAAGTTAAAGAAGTATGTATTGGATGACTGGACTATAAGGTGGATAGAAAGCTGGCTCGATCGTCGGGCTCAACAGGTAGTGATCAATGGCTCAATGTCTAGTTGGCAGCCAGTATCAAGCAGAGTGCCCCAGGGGTTGGTCCTGGGGCTGGTTTTGTTCAACATCTCTATTAATGATCTGAATGATGGGATGAATGGCACCCTCAGCAAATTCACAGATGACACTAAGCTAGGGAGGAGAGGTAGAAATGCTGGAGGGTAGGGATAGGGTCCAGAATGACCTAGACAAATTGGAGGATTGGGCCAAAAGAAATCTGATGAGGTTGAACAAGGACAAGTGCAGAGTTCTACATTTAGAAGGAAGAATCCCATGTACTGCTACAGGCTGGGGACCAACTAGCTAAGCAGCAGTTCTGCAGAAACAGACCTGGGGATTACAGTGGATGATAAGATGGATATGAGTCAGCAGTGTGCCCTTGTTGCCAAGAAGGCCAAAGGCATATTGGGCTGCATTAGTAGGAGCGTTGGAGCAGACTGAGGGAAGTGAGGCCACATCTAGAGTATTGCATCCAGATTTGGGCCCCCCACTACAGAAAGGATGTGGACAAATTGGAGGGAGTCCAGCAGAGGGCAATGAAAATGATTAGGGGGCTGGGGCACATGACTTATGAGGAGAGGCTGAGGGAACTGGGGTTATTTAGTCTGCAGAAGAGAAGAGTGAGGGAGGGATTTGATAGCAGCCTTCAACTACCTGAAGGGGGGTTCCAAAGAAGATGGAGCTAGGCTGTTCTCAGTGGTGGCGGATGACAGAACAAGGAGCAATGGTCTCAAATTGCAGTGCGGGAGGTCTAGGTTGGATATTAGGAAACACTATTTCACTAGGAGGGTGGTGAAGCCCTGGAATGGGTTAACTAGGGAGGGGGTGGAATCTCCATCCTTAGAGGTTTTTAAGGCTCGGCTTGACAGAGCCCTGGCTGCGATGATTTAGTTGGTGTTGGTCCTGCTTTGAGCAGAGGATTGGACTAGATGACTTCCTGAGGTCTCTTCCAACCTGAATATTCTATGATTCTATGTGGGTGCTACCTCAAGGGATGGTGTGGAGAAGTGAGAGACCTGCTGACAATGCACTGTTCTAGCTGAAGTGCTTATAGCACAGCGTAACTCCTGCTTCTCAAGGGGTTAGTGTTGGTCTTATCTCCCATATTAAGAAGCAGGGGAGCTCACCTCCAACAGCCCTGGGTATCATTCCAATATGTCATGCCATTTGTATGCACTCAGTTCTGAGGACAGACATGACTCCTGTGCAGTGCCATGATTCCATTTTTCCTCCATAAGAAAGATGGCTTTATGGGTAAAGCATAGGGCTGAAAAGAGATGTGGTGCTCTGCTGCTTCCCAACTATGGGCAAGTCACTTATCTGGTCAGTGCCACAGTTCTTATCTGTCAGGTTGGAATGGCATTTGCTTCCCTCCTAAGTGTGCAGTGAAGCCTGATTCATTAATGTCAGAAACTGATTTGTCCTTCTCTGTTACCTCCTAGCCACAGATCTTTCCAAATGCGGCTTCCTTTGTTTTAATTCCACAAGGCTCCCTTGTCTCCTGTCTGGAGGGGGGGAACCTGCTTCTCCCTGTGTTTGGACACAGACTTGAAAGCATAATATCGGTGAATATCCATAATGCCTCAGCTAGTGTTAATACAGATATTTCACAATGATATTAATCATCAATGTGGCACTAGCTTTCATAAAAGACCTTAACTGCACTTTTATAATATAGTAATATTGTATACAATCAGTTGATTCAATTACTTATCATTTGAGGTTCAGACCCGTGGAAGAGCCTATCTCCCTCACTCACTAAGTTGATGGCTTTGTTTGCCTTTTATGTACATGTACCTTTGTTGTATCTGCCTGGTTGGTCAGACAAACAAATACACATTCTGTTGTTTAGGGCACAATGAGCTGATGCATTGCTTGCCAAACACATTTTAATAACGTAATTCTAGCACATATCCATAACTCATTGTACACATCCCGTTCATACAACATGCAATAATTTTAAGTATCAGTGTGATATTAGTTTTCCAATGATAGTTTACATGAGACCTTTTACATCCAGATTATGACAACAGTTTGTTAGCTGTAGTGAGTATGTCAGGCCTGACGGGAGCTGCTAACAGAGCACTGAACCACAGATGCGCATCTGTGTCATACCGTCCCGTAGTACCAAGCACTAAAGGGAGCATTTCCAATGCAGTGTTTCTCTTTTCTCCTCCTTTTTCCTCTCTGTTGTTGGGCTATTTAAATTTTGAAAGAAAGGTTTATTTAGATTTAACTTTATTTCACACCTAAATTGTCAGATCATCAGTGTATTATACTGTTGCTTGCCCTAATTATCAAAAGGAAAATCTACTGAATTAGTGCTCTTGAGGCAAGGGACAGAAGAAGGCCCTGCAAGACTCTCACTTATTCAGAGGAGTGAGCCACTGTAATGGACTACTGTTTTATCAATGCCCTGCAGATGCTGTACCCTAAGGCCACCTCCACTTTTGGGAAATAGCCCAGTGTCTTATAAGATGTTTTCTGAGATATTCGTATCCATGGGGCAGAGACAGGTACAGCGTTACTGTCTGTGCAAAAGAATTATAAACTTTCTGCTTGTAATGCCCATGTTCAGTTTGGGGCTTTCCCAGTATGTGTTGTCTAATGGAATCCTCTGATCACTGTTTTTGGCTGTATTTTTTGTTTATTTGTTAGGTCACTATAGCCAATTAATCACATGACAATACTCCACAGCTTAGTTTGATTGTCCAATGAATACTAGTGGGGTTGCTTAGCACATACAACATTGCACTTTAAACTACCCTTATTGCACTGTGTTCAAAATAATTAAAAAGAAAGAAGTATCAGAAAGGCAAATTAGAGAGTTCCAATGAAAAGTCTCTTATTCTAAGAATGTGGAAGATTCACTTAAAATGGGATGCACGGTTTCCTGAGCCAGAGAGATTATCTGTCTAGGTGCTTATATGGTCCCATCACTATATTATTTCAGCACCTTCCAAGTTTTTAAATGTAGAAATAATTGATCTTCCTTCCTACCCTGGAGGAAGAATAACTTGATTAGTTTATAGAGAGATTGGGGGGGGAGGGATGCTGCATGTGCACGCTTGCATGTGTGTAGAATTTATTGAGGGAAAGGCAAATCAAAGAAATGAGTCTTGCATTTAGTTCCAAACAGAGGGAGGGGGTGGGGTAACAAACATACAAATGCACAATATTACTAGGAATTATAAGAAGCATGTAAAAAGCTACAGATTTAGAATCCTTTTTGAGCATTTGGCTGTGTGAGTAAGCTATTTTTATTAAGAAATATTTATCTGCAGTGAGAAGTTGCTTGCTGGTTGGATAATTTCACCAAAATGATTTGTTATGCTTACAGTGCTTTCTCCTATAGCAAATGCTGACCTCTGATGTCATAAGTGGAGTATCTATGGCAACTTTGAGTGGTACAACTCATTTTACACTAGGGCTTTACCTCCTTACTTGGTACCTGGGATTAGAACAGCAAAGATGAGCAGTTTAGAGTACTTAGCATATCCGGTGATTATTGCTAATCACAGGCAGAGTACTAACATGAGGAAAAAACTGGACATTGGTGACTACCTCTCTCACAAGAACAAACTAGAACTCGGTATGTTTTCTTAAATATTTCTCCTCCACATTTTTGAAGTAACAGTTAAAAGGTTTTAAAACCAGATGAGATATTTTCCTGAAGGATAGCTAGCCACAGAACTCAGAAAGTGTAAATTATATACACCAGAAAAATGGGAACTTCAGTCAGGACTCTGTATAAGTAAAGAAGGCTTGAGGAAATCCTGCTGGGAAATACGGGTACTTTCTCTTTTTAAGATAAGACCAGACCCATGTTTTAAGATGACACTCCTGTTAGTTTGTAGTTTCCATGATGAGAGCCAGTGGATTCACAGAATGACACAGGGTTTCTTGAGGATTTGAAACTTTCTCAGAACTTCATAATTTTACAGATTTACAGATTTATACCGAAACATATTAAGAGTTTCTTTTTATGTTGGAGGATAGGTGGTATCAGAGGATTTACACAATTTATTTGAGAAGAGTTTATCAAATTGGCATTGCTAGTAATCAGATAGATTTATTGATAAAAATATTATATATATATATATATGCATGTATATTGAAAAATCTTGTATCTGACCTGCAAGTGCTGATGGAAAAATTATTAGGACAGTTGGATTTTTTATTAATTTGAAGTTAAGATTCTTTAATTTCTGTTTATTCTGATTCAGAGATCAAATGAATATATTAAAAATATGAGGTGCTCTCTAATAATTAACTAATGATGGAACAGCTTCCGTATGAGAGGTTTCAGAGTAGCAGCCATGTTAGTCTGTATTCGCAAAAAAGAAAAGGCACCTTAGATACTAACCAATTTATTTGAGCATAAGCTTTCGTGAGCTACAGCATCTGATGAAGCGAGCTGTAGCTCACAAAAGCTTATGCTCAAATAAATTGGTTAGTCTCTAAGGTGCCACTAGTACTCCTTTCCTTCTGTATGAGGAGAGATTAAAAATATGGGGATGTTTCAGTTTGGAAGAGTGGATGTGATAAAGGTCTACAAAATCATGAATGGTGAGGAGAAAGTGAATAAGGAAGTTTTTATCCCTTCACATAACACAAGAACGAGGTGTTACCCAATTAAATTAATAGGCAGCAGGTTTAAAACAAACAAAAAGAAGTATTTCTTCACACAATGCACAGTCAACCTGTGGAACTCGTTGCCAGGGGATATTATGAAAGCCAAACTATAATGGGGGGGGGTCAAAAAGAATGTGGTTCTCAACCTTTCCAGAGTACTGTACCCCTTGCAGGAATCTGATTTGTCTTGCATACCCCAAGTTTCACCTCACTTAAAAACTACTTGCTTACAAAATCAGATACAAAAATACAGCAGTGTCACAGCACACTATTACTGATAAATTGCTTATGTTCTCATTTTTACCATATAATTATAAAATAAATCAATTGGAATATAAATATTGTACTTACATTTCAGTGTATTGTACATACAGCAGTATAAACAAATCATTGTCTGTATGAAATTTTAGTTTGTACTGACTTTACTAGTGCTTTTTATGTAACCTGTTGTAAAACAAGGCAAATAGCTAGATGAGTTGATGTAGCCCCTGGAAGACCGTGACATACCCCTAAGTTCATGAAGGAGAGGGCCATCAATGGCTATTAGCCAATATGGTCAGAGATGCAACCCCATACTCTGGGTGTTCCGAGTTTCTCATTGCCAGAAGTTGAGAGTGGATGACAGGACAGCTCGATTGATGATTACCTGTTGTGTTCATTCCCTCAAAAGACAGGATGCTGGGCTAGATGGACCCAGTATGACCGGTTTTGTGTTCTTATGATGCTGTGCTAAGTAACAAAAGACTGGGGAAAGGGAGTGGGGTGTCAGCAGCTCTTAAAGACTCATCATAGCAAAATATTCATTTTGATTTTGTCTTTTTCCTCAAGCAAGACCTCGTGTTGATAATAAACCCCCACGTGCACAAACTCACCATCACTTTAAAATGAGCAAGATTCAGGTACTCTTCTTTCCATGTGTGTTCAGTTAGCTCCTGTACTAATCGAGGTTTATTCATCATGCTTTGCACAGTGCCATAAAGATCAGGCAGCGCTTCAGATAAGTAAAGAGCGGGGTATACAGTCGACTTTGGGTGTGGCACAGCAAGGGTTCACACCTAGGAAAGCGGGTGGGGAGAGTGAGAGGATGCAGAAACCATAGTCAAAGGATCAAAGATGCGCCTGGCCTCTGCATGTCTTGTTAGTTTCTTTAAAATACATATATTTATTTTGATGAAATATAGTGGGGAGGGCAGTAGTGCTGGACAAGCAGAGAGCATGGCAGTTATGGATATGATGGATGACAGGAGTGGGCAGGGGGGCTGGCTGGCAGGCGTGGCAGGCAGTGGATTATGGGAGTGGACGTTAATGGGAGGCTAACCCAATAAAGTGCTTGAGGAAGGATTTGAAGCAGGAGAGTGATGTCACAAAACTGGGTCTCTTGCACAGGAGGACCAGAAGAGAATTGGTAGAATCGAAAGAGAAAACAAGCAGCTGGCAGAGAGGTTAGCTACCATTCAGCGTGGGACAGGGATGGTGGATTGCTGGAATGAATACTTTCAGAGGAGGTAGATAGTATTATTTTGTTGCGGTTCAAATACAAGACAGAACAAAGCTTTAGGCAAGCAAGCAGGCTGGTCTGCCGACGGGCTTCTGCCTGTTAGCTTTCCATCCTCCCTTTTATTTCTCTCCCCCCTGCGCATTACATACTCCGACCGCAAAAGGCATCAACAAAGGAAATAATATGACTTTGATTAATATTCTTATTTACCAGCCTCTATCTACTACAGTCCTTGTTCTCAGGCCTTGAGCCCAGTCCAAGGAAGCTTCCCACGGTTCATGTCCTCTGGGCGACTTCCCATGGTCCATGTCCTTGGACGGAGCAGTGTGTGCACTGCTCCTACACAACACTCAGGGTGTGCCCTGACTGTTTCCAGGTGCATGAACTCTACGTGAACCCTTCATTATTTGGATTACAGGAGCAGCCCAAAGCCTATTGTGCTGGGCATAGCACAAACGTACAGCAGACAGTGCAGCTGCAAAGACCTCATACTCCACAAAAGGCAGAGCTATCTCAGTTATCACCCTTTCATGTTCACTCCTTTGTTCTCAGAAGTTGAACTGGTGCATTTGGGGAACGCGGTACCATCTGAGGCCAGACGATGCCCTCAGGCTTAAAAGGGCCATTTTTGGCAGAAGCAGCTGGAGTTGCACCAATAAGGCAGCATTCACCCACCTCACCCCTCCATGGAAGTCACTTTTATGTGTTTCTGGGAGGGAATGGGACAAGGCAGTAATTGCTCTCTGCTCCAATCCATGGGCCTCAACTGCATCCTCATGCTCCTTGACCCCTCCATGGCTTTTGATGCTGCCATTCATTTCCTCTGCGCGCATGTGCACACACACACACTCTCTCTCTCTCTCTCTCTCTCTGTCCTCCTGCCTCTCTGACTGTCCTTCTTTTGGGGTAGGGGTGTCTCCTCACCTTACCTATTCTCTGTCCGGACTATACAAGGTTCTGTCCTTGGCCTGCTCTACTTTTTTCTGTGCACTCTCCAACTCAACTGTACCTGGCCTCCCAGACAAGCACCCAGCGAAAGCTCGCACCCAGGTCCTGATTATCAGCTGTCTGCCTGATGCAACTTTCTCCTCTCTGGCCACCCTGTCACCCACATCACCCCCTCCAGTCCACGCAAAATGTGTCCAGTAAGATAATCTTCCTGGCCTATCTCTCACCCCCTATCAGCCTCTCCCCCACCCACATCGTTCGACTGTCTGCTCTCATTCCACAACAAGTTTTTGCTTCCCATCCTTCCTCGCCTTCAGAGCCCTGCATAGCTCTGCCCCCCCCGTCCCCCACACTTATCAAACCTTGTCTTTCATGAGCCCTCACCCATTCTGCACTTCCAGCCCTGATACTGTCGGGGGGAGCCAGTATGTTCCAACCCACCATCCAGTGACCTTGTAACAGTCACTAGAGCAGGAAGCTCACCTCTGACAGAAGCCTCCAGTCCTTGGATCTGATTAGTGGAACTCGGGGGTAGGGGGGACCCTGACTAGTTCCCTAATTCAATTTAAACCAAGCAGAGGAACAGGAAGTTGTTTATGCAACTGTTTCCCTTGCTTAGGACTGCCTCTCCTGCACTACCTGACACTGATCTCCCAACCCTGCCTCAGGTTCTGCTCTTTGGCACTATCCTCAGGCTCTGATTTGCTGGTAACCTGACCCCCCTGCCTCTGATGCCTGAGGCTCAGTCTGCCCTTCAGCACTGTCTCCACCTCTGATCACCTGCTAGCCTGACCTGGCCTGCCACTTGGCTTCTGACTCATCCTAACCCCTAGGCATGACTGCCCACAGTCCAGTCACGACAGAGATGAAGTACACCCATTCTCCCTCAAGAATCCAGCCTTTTCCCGTGCTGCCCTCCCCAGTCATGGAATGCCCTTCCAAACTGGTTTATCAATATATCACCACCCGTGCCACGTTCATGCCCCTCCTTATAATCCATTCCTACTAGGACACCCATCTGAAGCGAGCCAACCGAGAGATGTATTTTCTTTCTGTACATTTAAAACTATAGACAAGATTCCATGTATGTGGTGCACATGTCTTTGCTAGCAGCAGCATGACTTTATTACTGTCTTCCTTTCTACACCCTTCATTTCTGTTCTGTTGCTTCTTTCCTGCAGCACGTGTGATACAGTGTAAGCTGTTTGGGGCTACATATGCACTGGGAGACACCTGCTACAGTTTGGGATGCTGCAAAGTCACCAACAATCATAAATTTAGAAATCAGCGTGGAGGGAACAGGGGACACTTATGCCAAAAAATATGATTTCACAACTCTGGGTTTCAGGCAACATCTGCTATTGAGCCTTTATAGGAGAGCTGTGAACTGGAGTCAATCATCAGTGAGCAGACTCAGTGAAATACATCAGTTATGCCCCTTAGCCGAGGACAGATAAAAATTATTTTCACTGAGCATATGCCACCTGTTACTGTCAGCACATGCCTCACTAGTGTCAGCCATTCAGCACAAAGATTCTGAGTATTCGATGGGTTTACAAATAAGGTTTTCATTCACATTTGTTTTTTGCAGCTCAAATAGGGAGAAGCAGAACAGAGATATGGTGAGAATCACTGTTGAAAACCAGGGGATTCTGAAGCGACTTGGTGATCCTAAACCTACATATGATCGTAGGAAGTCTGAGATTGATTGGCAGGCATGTATAATCATTTTATTCTTGGAAACACTATTTGCAGTTATAGTCAGACTAAACAAGGCGCAGAAGATGAATTGGCTGATCTGAAAGTTTTCCAAACCAAAATATGCATGAACAGCTGTTGGCTGGTTTCTCTGGATCCTGTAGTTCTGGGCATATACATCCTTTATTAAAGCAAACCACAACAGTCTTATGTTGGGTATAGATGTATCTAGAACATAAGAATGGCCCTACTGGGTCAGACCAAGGGTCCATCTAGCGCACTATCCTGTCTTCTGACAGTGGCCAGTGCCAGGTGCCCCAGAGGGAATGAACAGAACAGGTAATCATCCAGTGATCCATCCCCTGTCGCTCATTCCCAGCTTCTGGCAAACAGAGGCTAGGGACACCATTCCTGCCCATCCTGGCTAATAGCCATTGATGGACCTATCCTCCATGAATGTATCTAGTTCTTTTTTGAACCCTGTTATGGTCTTGGCCTTCACAACATCCTCTGGCAAGGAGTTCCACAGGTTGACTGTGCATTGTGTGAAGAAATACTTCCTTTTATTGTTTTAAACCTGCTGCCTATTCATTTAATTTGGTGACCCCTAATTCTTGAGTTATGAGAAGTAGTAAACAACACTTCCTTATCTACTTTTTCTGTACCAGTCATGATTTTATAGACCCCAAGCATATCTTCCCATAGCCGTTTCTTTTCCAAGCTGAAAAGTCCTAGTCTTGTTAATCTCTCCTCATACGGAAGCCGTTTCATACTCCTAAGCATTTTTGTTGCCCTTTTCTGAACCTTTTCCAATGCCAATCTATCTTTTTTGAGATGGGGCAACTACATCTGCACACAGTATTCAAGATCTGGGCATACCATGGATTTATATAGAGGCAACATGATATTTTCTGTCTTATTATCTATCCCTTTCTTAATGATTCCCAACATTCTGTTTGCTTTTTTGACTGCTGCTGCATGTTGAGTGGATGTTTTCAGAGAACTATCCACAATGACTCCAAGATCTCTTTCTTGAGTGGTAACGGCTAATTTAGACCCCATCATTTTATATGTATAGTTGGAATTATGCTTTCCAATGTGCATTACTTTGCATTTATCAACATTGAATTTCATCTGCCATTTTGTTGCCCAGTCACCCAGTTTTGAGAGATCCTTTTGTAGCTCTTCGCAGTCTGCCTGGGTCTTAACTATCTTTAGTAATTTTGTATCATCTGCAAATTTTGCCACCTCACTGTTTACCACTTTTTCCAGATAATTTATTAATATGTTGAATAGGACTGGTCGCAGAACAGACCCCTGGGGGACACCACTATTTACCTCTCTCCATTCTGAAAGCTGACCATTTATACCTACCCTTTGTTTCCTATCTTTTAACCAGTTACCAATCCATGAGAGCACCTTCCCTCTTATGCCATGTCAGCTTACTTTGCGTAAGAGCCTTTGGTGAGAGACCTTGTCAAAGGCTTTCTGAAAATCTAAGTACACTGTATTCACTGGATCCCCTTGGTCCACATGCTTGTTGACCCCCTCAAAGAATTCTAGTAGATTGGCGAGGCATGATTTCCCTTTAGTAAAACCATGCTGACTCTTCCTCAACAAATTATGTTCATCTATATGTCTGACAATATTGTTGTTTACTCTAGTTTCAACCAGTTTGCCCGGTACTGAAGTCAGGCTTAGAGGCCTGTAATTGCCGGGATCACCTCTGGAGCCCTTCTTAAAAATTGGCATCACATTAGCTATCCTCCAGTCATCTGGTACAGAAGCTGACTTAAATGATAAGTTACAGCCTACTTCTGCAATGTCACATTTGAGTTCCTTCAGAACTCTTGGGTGAATACCATCTGGTCCTGGTGACTTATTGCTGTTTAATTTATCAATTTGTTCCAAAACCTCCTCTAAGGATACCTCAATCTGGGACAGTTCCTCAGATCTGTCACCTAAAAAGAATGGCTCAGGTTTGGGAATCTCCCTCACATCCTCAGCCATGAAGACCGATGCAAAGAATTCATTTAGTTTCTCCGCAATGACCTTATTGTCCTTGAGTGGCCCTTTAGCACCTCGATCATCCACTGATTGTTTAGCAGGCTTCCTGCTTCTGATGTACTTAAAAAAAGTTTGCTATTACTTTTTGAGTCTTTGGCTAACTGTTCCTCAGATTCTTTTTTTACCTTCCTAATTGTATTTTTATACTTCATTTGCCAGTATTTATGCTCCTTTCTATTTTCCTCACTAGGATTTAACCTCCACTTTTTAAAGGATGCCTTTTTGCCTCTCACTGCTTCTTTTACTTTGTTGCATAGGTGTATTTGTATATGTCTATCTAGGTATAGGCAAGCCCAATACCATTGCACAGTAATATGGAGGGGATCTTGTTAAATCAAATACTACTTAGTTAATCATATAGTGGGCTAGATATAATTGCTCCCTAAAGCTACCCATTGTGGTAATCAGCAAGACTTGGGTAATGGAAAAGGGGAGAATTCATTAGAATTAGATTAATGCCTTGTCAAGTATTTATTAAATGAAAAACATCTCCCTGTTCATCAGGCTGAAGGGCTGGCTCCCTTAAGGGATGGAGTCTAAGTGTAATAAGGGTTCTCTCATTGGGGAGTGAGCTTCGTTGACCTTTTACTCTGACATTCTCAATTAATATGACCTTTTAGTACAAAAAAAGAAAACTACACCTGTTATGCTGTGTTTATAACTTAAATGTGAGCATCAGCCTCTAGTCACATGCGTGATTTCAGATGTAAAATCCGTTTGTGCCTGAACAAGATTTTAGGCTCTGGCTTTTTCTTGTTAGCTACAAACTGCAATAAGTGACAAATCCACTGAAAGAAGAGTCTGAGCCCTAATTTCTGGCCAGGGTCCCTAATTTGACTGACAGCAGTGACTGATTTCTCACTGACACTTTGTGAAGTCACTGGAGTCTAAACTGGAAACATTGCATTTCTCTAACTTTATGGCTAGAAGAGCCACCTCATGTTGCAGTCTTAGCAACACCTGAAACATGATTTACCTGTGTGAGCTTCTCAGCCCAGACAGCGGGTAATAGGCATTATTCCCTTCTTTGTGGCATAATCTATGTGCCACTTGCCATTCAGGAACTAAGACTTCAAATTTTTTAGTCAAAGCACTGACTTTCAGTTAATTTATTTTTTGCAGCATTGACAGATTTTGAGAGTCTGGGTAAATTCTTAAGCAGAGTGTGGGAGCAGAGTGTACAAACCCTGTTATTAGTGAACTGGGGTTGTATATGCATTTTCTCCCACACACTGCTTCAAAAGCATAGTTCTCTCTTGTAATTGTGAAAAGATGCCAACCCCAATTTCTCTGTCACAGAATTAAATGTCTCCCTTAAGTCACTTCTTACCCATGCAATAAAATTCACAAAGCCACAAAACTCCCTCCAAAGAAGGAAACAAAGCTATGGAACAGCTGCAGCTTATTGTTGAAGGAAGGCTATTGAGTTTACTCAATAATTGTCGTGTCTCTGTCTCTCATTTTAAAACAAATTTGCTGAACCCATTTTGGATTCCTCAGTTACTGAAGATGATTTAGAGGCCCATTACAGCCTCCTCTATGCTGCATAACTATCAAAAGGGTTAAGCAGGATCTGGGTCTCCAGATAACCTTAGTGTCCTGGTATTTCAGCTCTCGGAAATTCAAGAGACTAATAGAATTCTGTATCAAGGTTATAGACAGGAATTAATTAAAACACATGATTTAGAATGTGGGCTTTCTGTGGCAGGGTCTATGTCTTTGCTTGTTTTGTGAGAGGTGTGGCACATTTTTGGTAGCTCAAAAATACATCTTTTAATTTCTTGATTGCAATCAGGATAAAAATGTTACATTTTCAAAAGTGGCTTCTGCTATTTGATGCCCAACTCAAGCACCTTCAGCTCCCCATGGCTTTAACTAGAATTCTGGGAGACAGCACATGTGAAAATCAGACCCAAGACACCTCATTCTGAGATGCCCAAATCAGAAGAATCCAAAATCAGGGTCTACTTTTGGCCTCAGGCTTTTACACTAACTACTAATAAAACAGAAAACATGGATGAGCAATCCACAAAAGACCAGACTAAGCCCATTAATGACTAATTGCTACAATGAAGAAACGCAAGTACTGAAGGAACAGGATGCATAAGTGTAAGGAAAACAAAAAAGCATCATGACCAAACAGTGTACTTGTTTTAATTACAATCCTAATAGTCACTTTAATAGATAATTAGTGTCACTGACAAATCTACTCTTTCCTTCTCGTTGGCAGAATTCACGGCACTATATCCGGAATACCACGCGGTATCTCATTGCTTCTCAGGATAGCTAGGTATACAGTTCTGCCTTGGCTTTATTCATTTTCTAAAACTGTATGTGGCTGTCACAAAGTGTTGTTAGTGATGCAGCCTGATTTGTGTGTGTATATTTTACCCCTGCTGCAGTCAGTGCATGTGCATAATACCTAGGAGAGACTGCTCCAGATCCTGCCTGCTCACCCATGAAATGCAGGACTGCTGAGTGACCTGGTAGCTTGCATTTAAACATGGCATCTTCTGAAATAACGCGGGGGGGAGGGGGAAGATTGTGTGTGTGTGTGTGTGTATCACAATCCTTTCCTCTCTCAACTTACCTGATGCCCCACAGGGCCTGCAAATCAGCACTGCCCTGAATTTGTTCCAGCAAAGTGTATGAAGTATGGATATTGCCACCTTCTTCCATCTGCTCCTATTCCAGCCAGCTGAGATCTTTGCCCCACAAGCCCCTTCAGCTGGTGCCAGTCCAAACGCCTCCCAACTCCCCTCTGTACCCATTCAGTTGGGGCCCTGCCTATCATCATTCAGTTCCCCGTAACCCCTCTCCAGAGGCCCTGGCTGTTGCAGAAATGCTTGAGCTCTAAATAATAAATGAAACTTTAAATTAGGTTAGTTGCTTAATAGTTGGTTTATTAGGAGTTAGAGTTTTGCCTTTATATGATGATTGACAACATGGGGCTGGTGAGTAAACAAGAGGTCTTGGCAAGATGAGGCAAAAGTTATTTTCATTTCATAACCTCAAAATGCAAAAAGGAGGAAATTGGTGTTTGCCAAAGGACAAAATTGGCAAAAAGATTAAAGAAATGCCCTAAAAGATTTGTAAAGTGTGAGACATTAAAAGAATAAAGAAATTATTTGTGAATGTCCCAGGATGCCCAATCTGTAGACCTCACACTTGGGCCATGATTCAGCAAAATATTTAAGCATGTGTTTAAGGTTTTGCTGAAGTCAATGTGCTAATGTACTTTGCTGAATTGGAGACTCAGGCATAACTCCTCATGGAGTCAACACTTCATTATCAACTGATTTTTTTCAGTTCCCCTCCCTCTCTTTTCTTTCCAAATTGCAGGAGAATACACCAGGCATGGATAATACAGCAGAGACTCAGCACATCCTGAAAGTCTGATGGCTTGTTAGGGATACATATCACAACTGGCTGATGTTTTCTTAGGATTGTAAAATAAAATGGAGCATTGAATGAATGCAGTTTTCCTATAAAAGTGCAACTCCCCACTCCAGCCCCAAAATCTTCACCACATATATGTCTACTTTTGCCATAATTTATTTTGAATTTACAAACAAAACTGCACCTAAAAAACTCACATCACAATTCTCCCAAATTAATAAAAAAGCGATCGTGTTTAACTACAGGGTTTGATGCCTGCACAGGATAGAAATGGAGGCAAATATCATTTATTAGATGAATCAGATTGTAAATGACATTTTAGCGCTGTGTTTGATACCAATTTAGACCATAAGACATTTTCAGTTATTGTAATTTTAAATATTTTATAAAATCTGCACATTTCCGTTTGTCTTGGTTCTTTTAGCAACTATTTCCTCTATTGGGATCTACTGGACTATAAAGCAAACTGAACCTATGTTGTACTTTTACTGCTACTATTTTGCAAGTGGTTTGATAGTAATTCCTGCACTGAGTAGATTTCTGTTGATATTATTTTACAGAACAGAGAATGATGTTTCATCTAACCTACATCCTTGTTCATGGTGACACATGGTATATATTTTATCATGTCTAGCTGGATGTATTAAAGCTGTTAGTAATCTGCAATAAATCTACAGACGCATTGATTATTTTACACAAAGGCACCCTCTTTCCATCTGGTATTGTCACAAAGTCACTTAGTGTGAAATTTTACTCTTTAGTTTAAAATTGCTTTCAAAGAGTTATGTCCAGCGATTATAAAATGGAAGTGGTGCCTCAACTACCAGCTACGCTTGTCCAGCATCACTGCCTGTGAGCTACCCCCTCTCGGATGTGGTGGGCGAGGCAGAGTGTGAAAAGACTTGCAGGCAAAGCAGCTGGACACTCAGGCTTTGTGGTTCTGGCATGGAGGAGGCGCTGTTTCTCTCTGGCAAATACCTGTGGCTTTTCAGAGAGGAACCCAATCTGGCAGTCCAGAGCTGCTCGCTGGCAGGCCACTACAGGTCCAGCAGCCTGAGAAAGTGTCTTCCTCAAAGAGGTGACAAGGTGGAGTTTTCCCTCAACACCTAAGGCCAGGTCTCCATTATACACTTTTGCCAGTATGTCCGTTAGAACTGTCACTTTTTGCCAAGAACCTAAGGTAAACGTAAAAAGAACAGGAGGACTTGTGGCACCTTAGATACTAACAAATTTATTTGAGCATAAGCTTTCGTGAGCTACAGCTCACTTCATCGGATCCATTGATGCATCCGATGAAGTGAGCTGAAGCTCGCGAAAGCTCATGCTCAAATAAATTGGTTAGTCTCTCGGGTGCCACAAGTCCTCCTTTTCTTTTTGCGAATACAGACTAACCCGGCTGCTCCTCTGAACCCTGAGGTAAATGTGACTATACTGGCATGGGACTGGGGAGAGGAGGGGGAAGCACCTTTTCCCTAATATAAGCTGTGTCTATACAAGTAGAGTTTGCCATTCTAGCTATACCAGCAAACCTCTTCTAGCATAGCTCTGGCCTAAGTTATTCAGGCACACAACTCCCACTGACTTTCCAGGGGACTTGTACTCCATAGTCACGTTTGAAAATTCAACCAACAATCTTGGTATCCTGGGGAAATTTTTGTTGTAAGATTTCCATTATCCCTCCCTCTGTTGAAGCTAATGAGGTAAGGAGGACAGCGAGAGGAGCAGACTTCAACCAAAACTTGCTTTGGCAGTGAAGACTGTATGTCAGCTAGAGGAGAGATTCATCAGCTGGTCCTGTAAACCTCACTTCTGAGCCCCGGCTCCCACCCAGATCCTTGCCTGAATTTTATGCATATCTACATAGGCCCCAGCTACCCTTCCATGCTCACCCACTCCCAGGTCCCCTTGCCTCTGCTAAGTATTTATATAAAGCATAATACATCCCCTATAGATGTAAAAATTATCATTTTTTTCCATTCAGAAGTGGGGTGGGGAAGGGGAACATAGGACTGGGGCAAATCTATGTGGAAAGCCAAGCCTGCCTCCAAAATCATACACAACCATAATTTCAGCCTCACAGTTAGTTTTATTACTAAGTAAAATTATCAGTAAGGAGATTATTGTTGCTAATGTTGGGTAGTGTCTTTTTAGAGACTTTTTAACATTTTCAGGAACTGGGTGCGTGCAATCTGGGTCACTGACTATTGGAAGCGAAAGGGAGTGGTAAAGTACATGAACTGAGATGGGTCTGGATATAAATGTAGTTGTGAGTTTCAGTAGTTGGGGGTGAAAGGAAATGGATTTGAGCAACAATAATTCTCACATAGTGTCTACCAACATTCTTTGTGTGGTATGCACAGTGGGGCTGGGGGGGATTTTCATTTCTGTTTCTTTACTGGTCTCAGACATTGTAGTTCTACATTTCTGTTGGTAGTTTGTGTCTTGGTCTACCTGCAGACTATAAGGTCCTTTGGCCAGGTCATTTTACTTTTGCCTATAAAACATAATGTACTAAATCAATAATATGGAAAACAGCAGAATTTCTTCATGGAGCATAGTTTCTGCTATTTTACAACAGAAACAAGATGCAAAAGATGTTTATGCATTTAGTGAGCTGGTATAAAAACCAGGTAAAATGTTAATATGCCAAATTCAGGCCTGGGCTCCACTGAATGGGCTGAGCCTTTAACATGCAGGGATGGTGGAAAGCCCTGCTTTTGGCCATATAACGCATACCTGGCTCCATCCAGGTGATATAACTCTTTTCAAATATATTGACGACCCATCTCCTCAGATTCACAGCACTAGAAATTCTCCTCCACTCTATAATTCATTGAAGACTCTATCATGTTACTGGGATTCATTTGTTTTACCATAGGTTGTTGACTTATGTGAGAGACTTGATACTTGCAATAACATACGGTTGTAGTGATGGGAGTTGATTAATTGACCCATCTCTTTTACGCCAAGACTTATTTGATCACAGTGCTCTACCTTTTACCATACGGGTAAGTTGACCATATTTTCAAAATCAAAACCCAAATGTTTTTTGTGGTAACCTTCTTAAGGTCAGGAAAAAACTGAATTTCTTGGCATTGACTCGCTTTTCATAGATTTATGCTGCCTGGGTCAGAAAATCACAGAAGAGCTGAGCACCACCATTTCCTTCCAATGACAATAGCAAGGAGGGAGCAGAAGGACCACCAGCACTTCCTCCTGGGGCCAGAGCAGGGGTTTTGCACTGACCAGTCTGAGTCAGTCTTAGACTTGTATTGCAATGTGGTCTAAAGACAAGCACTGACCCTGCCCAATGATTGTCACAAAGCACATGCTCACTTCTTGATCAGAATGAAACAGTGTGCAAAACACTTTAAGAGTGGAACTGATCTTGGACAAACATTTTGTAGTTATTAAAAACCTGAACATTTTGATAGATGAAATGAAAAACTGGAACATTTCATGTGTCCCATAAGAAGTTCCAAGAACTTCATAAAAAACCTGGGATGCATGGTCTTTTTACATAATGGCAAGATCACATGAACAGGGCAGGGTCTAGTAACCACACAGAGCCACTCCAGATTTGAGTAGATTAGGGCCCATATTAGACCCTGAATGAATAATGTGATTGAATACTGTTTTGAATCTAGACAAGAGAAACATTTTACTTATTGTTCTTTGGAGGGGGAATGTAACAGGGTGGCTTGCTCTGTGGGCTGGAGAGCCTGGGGCTGATCCAGCCCTGACTACAGAATGGGCTTCACCTGAGTGAAATGAGGTGATTCCTGTATAAAAGGACCAAGGTTTAAGTGCTGAAAGGGTCCAACTGGGGAAAGAGATGGCAGGGAGCAAGATGGTTCCTGCAGAGCCCTGAGTGAGGAAAGTTATCTAGGCAGAAAGCAGCCTGGGAGGGACCCTGGGTAACAGGAAGAAACTGGTTGAAGAAGAGCATCAGAGAGGGTGGAAAGTTTAATTCTGTTAAAAACAGTTTTGAAGCCTAGTTTGGACAACTATGACCCAGGAGGGGTGGAATAAAAGATTGTGACCCAGCCAGAGGGCCAAGTTACCTGACAGAGTAACTGTCACAGCACTCAGTGAAGGAGATGGTATGAGAGCTGCAACACGATGCCTGGCATGAGGAGCACATAATGGTGGGTGCCTCAATGGTGAGTGGATTCCATTACAGAAAATCCATTACAGTGATTTTGCTTAACAATAACTTCATATTGTTAAGACAAAAATAAGTATGGGTTTACATTTGAAGCCATTGCTAAAGGATTTGATATATAGGAAAGATCAAAAGTGACAGGCAAATGGAAAGCAGGAACTCCTAAGTAGATAATGTACTATTTATCAATAGCAGATTCAGCAAATTATGAACTGTCATTGGTTTCCAAAGTCCTACTACATCTGCATTTCCATCTATACACTAAAAAATTCTGTATATCCAAACTTCCTGAAGTATTTGGAAAAAAGTCTTGCAGCCATGTAGATTTAATCTCCAAGGCTCGCTTTGTTCCTTACACTCTCTGGGACCATTTGTCTGAGTTAAGATACTTGTTTCCATAGCCATTGGCAGTAGGTGAAGTTTCACTCTGTATCACAAAGTATTTATAAAGCTTAAAAATCACTAAATTTTTATCAATCAATCTACATCGAGCACTCAAAATTTTAAATGACGCTACTGAAAATTGTGGTTCAGGAACCCCATGTCAGCTTCTGATTGATAGGACATTTTTATATTCCTTTCTAGACAAGCTGGCAGTTTTGGAGTGCAGCTGACATGTTCCCTCTTATAATCCTTACATTTACAGCACATTTTATATAGGCTTTCCTTTTGACATGTGAGAGCAGGCTATGATCTAACCCAACTCACTGGCACCCAAAATGAGTCCTCATTCAGCTTCTCTAGCAGAGTTTTCAACTGATTATAGGCACTCTGGAGGTCTTCTTTCAGCAGCACAGTGTCAATTAAATGGCCATACTGCTCTTCGATAAATGCTGCCGAATTAATAATGTCCTGCTGTTCTTCATCCTGCAGGCCAATATGTGAGAAGATATTAAACTTGCAATAGTCATTCTATCCTTCTTATGACTTGTTTAGCTTCCTTGTATCCTCCCCAAGCTTCTAACAACTTTGAAAGGAAATGAAACAAAAAAGCTATTGCCAATGTGAAAGGATAAAATGAATTCCTGCTATCAAGTTTGAGCAAGGTGCTAGTGCTGGGAGTGATATGGCCTCAGGGATGGAAAGGGTGAGTGAGGGATTTTGAAATGGTTACAAGAGTAAAATGAAAATGTGGCATTGCACTCAAAGTAACAAAAGTGCTGCCTAACCAAACTCAGGTGCCAACCAGACTCCCTTCAAAAGTAAAAGAATGACAGTGGAACAGATGTGCCCAAGTTCAACAACACTGAGCACTTCACTGGAAACTTTGGAGGATCCCACAGGCAGTGTGCATGTGAACTCACACACTTTATTACCAAAATAAATGAACAATAGTGTGTTGGTACTTCTCTAAAGAGATAATACCAACCAGCTTCGTTTCCTCTTCCTTGCAAGATTACACTTCTTGTAATGCAAGGACCACCAATAAGTAACAGCCTAATCAGCTTGGTCTTCACTCTCCAGTCACAAGGCAAAATGGGCACTTACGTAGGCTGCTCAGTGGCAGAACAACAAGGTTACTAACTAATCCTACTACACTAGTAGTTTCCACGGGCGTGAACCTGAATATTTTGTACTATTACAAACAGTAGATTCTTACTCCTCCTGCATTCCTGACATGGTTTATATTTTAGGGGGCAGAATCTCCCTCTGAAGTTCTAACTCTGTTCAAGTCATGGTGGGGGGTGTTAAACTGAAAACAAGCCTGTTTCTCAACTCCGCCCCCCACCCCGCCTTCAAGAGGATTTGCATGGTAAGAGCCAAACACAAAGTAGTCTTCCTAAGAAGAAACCATACCTCTGGCCCAAAACAAACAAACAGGATTATCCAGCAGATTTACCCCTCACCCAGATACAAGTTGTCTTTGCAAATTGTATGTTTTATGCCTCCCATACTATCCCAAACCTTCTCTAGAAAAAAGTGCAAGAACATGAGAACATTGAATAATTTGCCTACTCTTCTTGGATTATCTGCCTGCCCTTTCTCCATACTGCAGAAACAAATTCTAAATGAATTCAAGAAACATTCAACTTTCTCCTACAACTGCCTCCCTGGGTAGCTTATTTCATATCTCTAATAGTCAGTGAAACAACTATGTCAGCAACTGTGTTTATTGTTTTACTTGTGTTTGAAGAAAAGTCATGCAGCACGAAGACACTTGTAAAATTAAAAGGCAAAACACACTAGGAAAATTAAGTAAATTAATATAGGAGATGAAGGTGTGGCAGCTGAAATAATGGTAGTTGTATTCACCTTAGCACGGGGGCTCTGAAAACTGTGTAGCAGCTTATAAAATCTGAATCTCAAATCAGAGTTTTGTTGGATATCATTATCCTGCAGAACATCTCAGGCATGTCCTGTAGGAGGATGCTTTGCTGTCCATACTGACCCATCAGCAAGGAGACATAATAGAGGAAGGCAAAAAGAGTTCCCAGGTAATTGCCACATGAATGTAGCTACTTAGAACTCTCAACCTGACTTCCATCATAAGACTAGAGCCAGTTATGTTATCTCACTCAACTGGAGGGACAGGTATTTCTCTTATGAATATTCCAAATATGGCTTCTTCAGTGACTTAAGAACTGAGGTTAAAATACTTACAAGTGGGGCTGAGATTTCTTCTGAAGTTGGAGATGTTGGTGCATTTTTTTTCTTTTCTGGAACCAGAGCCTTCACAAATATAACATACGGTTTAAACTCTGGTGTTCTCAGGTGCTTTACTGCCTGTGAGTAGAAATATACATGAGCTTTTTATGTATGTTAAGGAAAACTTTTACATGATAAGTTAATGTATGAAACTTCAATTATCCCTGTTCCAACTGTTCTTAGTAATGTCAACTGTATAAATTTTTCATTTGAAACTCTGTAAAATACTGTAAGTCTGAGCATTATATCTGTAATTCTCCAAAAAGGAGACGAATATAATGTCAGTGTCATTGCACACAGATCTTGCTGTGCATTAAATTTACAGAAAGGGGAAGGTAATACAAGAGAAAAGGGTATAACTTGCCTATTAGGCCAAATTATCCTTACTTTCCTTTCATAAAAAGTGGACAAAATCCAAGAAATTGAACTCTACTTGCTTTCACAGGAGTATTTAAAGTTATTTCCTAATCCCAGACACATGACCTGGTCCAGCCACTGGCATAAGAGAGGAGTCAGTACCCAGTGACTTCAGTTACAGCTAGAATCACACTTTTTTTGTGTGGCCAGAAGGACTGAGAATGCAGAGCCTGTTTATGGTAGGAAAAGTTCCATGTGGGCTTACACAGGAAAGGAGGACGTGTGCGCATCTCTCATAATTCAAGGGCAAGCTCCTTAATAAGAAAACTAACTATGTAATACATTGTGGTTTTTAGGGCACACTTTGCTTTTTGTTCAGCAAGGCTCAGCACTGTGAACAGTCCAGTTCTGCTGAGCCAGCACTCAGACCAGCTGTTAGATTCACAAGACAGACAAGCATCATTGCTTTCTGTAGAGCAATTAACCAGGGACTGTAAATAGCATTATTCACCTGAGGAGAAGTCAGATATTTACTTTGCTTAGGAACAATCCAGAAGAAACTCTTTCCCATTAAGAGGACAAAATATGAAGAAAAGACACAGCACAATTCTTCATTTACACCTTTCTATGACCTCCACAGTATATTCATCCCAGGATACTCTCTTACAGCTGTCATCAGTATTTAAGTTTGCTTTTCTAATAACTTTAATATTTTTATAAGCCATCATACAGGGACAAGTTGTAAAATTGAGGAGGCTGGTGTTTTGAGCATAAAGGTATATGGTCTTTAGAAAGGGCATGAACTAGATACATAGAATGACAAAAAATGTCTGTTCCAGCCACCTGCTATCTCAGACCCCCGATATCAGAATCCTTGTAGATTAATTAAAGCAGAGAAATGTGAGGGTAACCTGCTGGCATCTGATGCTGCAGCAGCTATACTATGTAACAGGAAATTGGTGCTTTCATGGCACTGGTGAGATGAGAAGGTTTTATTGTAATAATGCCCTAATGCACAGCACGTCCATATGAAGATCCCAAAGCCCTTTAATGAGGTAATGTCTCAGTTTCTCCATCTTTGAAATAAGGGTAATAAAAATCTTTCTTACACCACCCACATGAGAAAGATGATTAAGAGCACCAATGATTTGCCTAAGGGTACACTGGAAGTTAGTGCACAGCCAGGAATAAAACCTAGATCTTTCAAATCCTATTCTTGTGCTTTTGCAACTAGACAGTTCTTCCTCTCCAAAAATCTTAAGTGAGGAATCCTACAAGTTCCAAGTTCTTAAAACAGGAACAGCAGCAATATCCTCTCAGATATGGATAAGGTCCAAGGTAGCATCTAATTAATGTGCAATGGATCTCAGAGACGAATGGGTGCAAATTTCTCTTTTCTTAGTTTAAAAAAAAAAAAAGTCTGGTACCTGATTATGTCCTTAGCAGGTATGTTGGGAAGGGAACGCCTCAAATTTAGAGCCTGTCTACACGGTGCCTTAGTCCACATTAGATGGGGTGTAAAATCTAATTCATGCCAGCATGTTGCCCACTAACTGGCCCATGTGGACACTGCTCACATACCCTAGAAGTTTTCTAGTACACTTTAATGTAAGACTGTTTGAAACAGAAGCTTCACACAGGCCAAGCCAAGTCTAAGGTTTGAAAACAAAGCCATGTTGGAATAACCCAAGTGTTAAAAGCAAAGCTTTACAATTGTTCTTACCTGAGGGAAAATGTTTTGCCTCTGCTTAGCTAACCTAAAGGCAGTCCAAATGTGTGTGTCGGGGGGGTATTTTTGTTTTGGTTTTTTTGTGACTACACACATGCCCCATCTTTACCTCCTCCCTCCCATCAGACAAAATTCTTGGTCTGGCACTCACTATGAGAACACTAATCATAAACAGTGGTTTGCTTCAGTTAAAAAGTTGAGAGATTGAACATGGTGTAAAACATAAGATACCATAAAGCCATATTGTGTTTTCCATACTCCCCCTATGGCTTGTAAATTAATAATGCAATGCAGAAAGCTGAAATCTGCACAGAGGAAATAAATAGTTCTCTAGTAAAGATTTAAAAACAGAATGATACATTCATCTATAAAGCTTTGGGAAATGTTTTTTTATTTGCTCCCTCTAGTAATTTTTTTTACAATGTTCATGTTTGTTTGAACACAGTATATTTGACTTTTTTAGTGTTACAAATCAAATTTAACATAACAAATCAAACAAGTTTCAAAGCAGATCAGATTATGCTGTTTTTTCTCTGTTCTATATAACCCCAACAAGAAAAGACTCATCTTCTATTACTTCTCCCCATGGGAAACAACACTGTTTTCCATGTTTAAAGCTGGTTGAATACTGCAAAGCCATATCCCTGAACATTCATTCACATTCTGAACGGCTATTCAGTAACATTTTTCTTCACATGAATGTTTAGGGAATGCCGATTCTTCATAGAGAAACCCATAATTTGCCTACAAACAAGGGTACTTGCTATCATCCTTTAATCACTATTCTCATTGTTAGATTTTTATTCTGTTTTAAAAGTTTGTCATCCAATTAGGGAGCAGGAATAATATCGGATTCTGGTGGCCAGTCACAGACTGCAAATAGCACTTGATCCTGCTATCTGAAGTCAACAAATTTCAAAAGGAGTTGGATAAGGCCCTTGATAATGAAAAGTCAAAGTGAAAAATTTGCAAAACAGCTCAGAGGCTGAGTTTCTTCAACTAAAGTGTTTGATGAATACCAAAAAAAAAAAAAAAAAAGATGGAAAAATCTAGATTGGGTCACAAATGATTCACAAACAGAGGAAGGGGCTAAACTAGTTATTTGCAACAATTTCCTTGATATTGTGCCACAAACATTTTAACGTACTGAGATGGCTGGCTACAGCAGCATGCTTATTTTATTTCTGACCGCTGCTACCAGGCCCCCAGAATCAGAAGACTTTATAAAAGCAGCTGTACTTACTTCGGGTACCACATCCACCAAACAAACTTTATTTTTGGCCATAACAGATTGGATTGCCTCAAGGCTTGTTCCATACAGATTCTCTTTGTATTCTCCATGTTCAACAAATCTAAAAAGTTAAGGTATTTATACTCCATGAATATATGCCACAAAGAAAAGGAAATTAAAGAACTTTGACCGCTGTTGTCCCCCAAACCGGTTACATTTGTTAATTCCAGGGAGTCATGAGAAACAGTTGTCTTCAGGGATGCTGGAAAAATTCGTACAGTGCGGGTGCTGAGAGCCATTGAACCAAACTGTAAACCCTGTATATGATGGAAACTACTTCACGCCGGGGGTGCCGCAGTACCCCTAGTTCCAGCACCTATGGGTGTCTCCCTTTACAAAACTAGTGTCTGGGGTTCAGAAAATTGAGACCATGCAATCAGAAGTCTCCTTCCATTTGAGGCTCTCAATATGCTTTAGGATTTTGAAGAAATTAATTTGTACATCCCCTCTCAATGGGGGGGGGAGGGATAGCTCAGTGGTTTGAGCATTAGCCTGCTAAATCCAGGGTTGTGAGCTCAATACTTGAGGGGGCCATTTAGGGATCTGGGGCAAAAATTGGGGATTGGTCCTGCTTTGAGCAGGGGGTTGGACTAGATGACCTCCTGAGGTCCCTTCCAACCCTGATATTCTATGATTCTCTTCATGGAGAAAGCTGAGGCAAAGGGAAGTTCAGTGACTTGCCAAGGGCCACAAGAGTCTTAACTGAACCCAGCTTCCCTGACTGAATTACAAGTCAACCCCTTTCTCTCACAGAAACAAATACAGAAGTACCACTGAATAAGCATGGGCCCTGTGGAGTATATTGAGCAAATGGAATGTCCTAAAAGAAAAGTCTCTCTTGGAATATGTATCCTTATTTGGATGTTCTCAAAGGAATGTGGAAATGTTATAAATATTGCAGAAAACATCCAAGCAGTTTAGGACCAAAATCTGACCTACCTTGAAACTATTAGTTTATGATGGGGAAAGCAAACTGAGCTCTATGCATTGGTTTGGTTTCTATCTGTTACCATTACAATTTCAACAAAAACTCCACTCTTTTAGGGCATCTACAAGACTCTGGACATGTTGTTCCTTGACTTTAGCAAAGCTTTTGACACTGTCTCCCACAGTATTCTTGCCAGCAAGTTAAAGAAGTATGGACTATAAGGTGGATAGAAAGTTGGCTAGATTGTCGGGCTCAACGGGTAGTGATCAATGGCTCCATGTCTAGTTGGCAGCCGGTATCAAGTGGAGTGCCCCAAGGGTCGGTCCTGGGGCCGATTTTGTTCAATATCTTCATAAATGATCTGGAGGATTGTGTGGATGGCACCCTCAGCAAGTTTGCAGATGACACTAAACTGGGAGGAGTGGTAGATACGCTGGAGGGTAGGGATAGGATACAGAGGGCCCTAGACAAATTGGAGGATTGGGCCAAAAGAAATCTGATGAGGTTCATCAAGGACAAGTGCAGAGTCCTGCACTTAGGACGGAAGAATCCCATGCACCGCTACAGACTAGGGACCAAATGGCTAGGCAGCAGTTCTGCAGAAAAGGACCTAGGGGTTACAGTGGACGAGAAGCTGCATATGAGTCAACAGTGTGCCCTTGTTGCCAAGAAGGCCAATGGCATTTTGGGATGTATATGTAGGGGCATTGCCAGCAGATAGAGGGACGTGATCGTTCCCCTCTATTCAACACTGGTGAGGCTTCATCTGGAGTACTGTGTCCAGTTTTGGGCCCTACTCTACAAGAAGGATGTGGAAAAATTGGAAAGAGTCCAGTGGAGGGCAACAAAAATGATAAGGGGACTGGAACACATGACTTATGAGGAGAGGCTGAGGGAACTGGGATTGTTTAGTCTGCGGAAGAGAAGAATGAGGGGGGATTTGATAGCTGCTTTCAACTACCTGAAGCGGGGGTTCCAAAGAGGATGGCTCTAGACTGTTCTCAGTGGTAGCTGATCACAGAACAAGGAGTAATGGTCTCAAGTTGCAGTGTGGGAGGTTTAGGTTGGATATTAGGAAAAACTTTTTCACTAGGAGGGTGGTGAAACACTGGAATGCGTTACCTAGGGAGGTGGTGGAATCCCCTTCCTTAGATATTTTTAAGGTCAGGCTTGACAAAGCCCTGGCTGGGATGATTTAGTTGGGGATTGGTCCTGCTTTGAGCAGGGGGTTGGACTAGATGACCTCCTGAGGTTCCTTCCAACCCTGATATTCTATGGTTCTATGTTTTTGTGATCCTTCTGGGGGCTTAACAGTTTTCCCAGGGCATCAGTGATAATCAGTGAGGCTGAGAAATAAGGAACTTAAAGAAAACTGCCATGGTATTTTCAGCTGAATTCTAAAAATAGAGAAAGGGGGAACCTCATGTTTTCCACAGAGAACAGTACAAAGCTAGCCAGGAAAGAAATTTTACTTTTCAGGCTTCTAGGGGAATTTAAATTCTATAGGAAAACCTTGCACTAGCAGGAAATGAACTGGATAATCCAATAGGTCATTTACATTCCCAAATTCAGAATAAAAGTAAATAGAACTTGCCAGCATACATGTACCAGAAAATAGCAGTGAAGTTAGTGAAGGGACTGCCAGTAATTAGGCAGCAGGGTTGGATTCTGCCTCCTGCGCCTCTTTCCAACCCTTTAGTGTTCCTGACTTGCCTTTCAGTCAGGCTTTGAGTGAGTTTATACTCAAACTGAAAACAAGAGTTTACTGGAAAAATTGCCCCATCCCATTATTACACTGAACTAGGTATGTATATACTATACATCTTGACAAGCAATATGTTGAAAATGTAGCCACACTATTTCTGTATGTTAAAACAAACCTACTTGTTATGCTGTACATCTATCTCAAATGATTGCTTAGAGACAAAATTGTATTCCACTCCCTCTTTTTCATGACTTTTCTTTGACCTGGTTGTATCTGGAAGAGTGGAAACAGTACAGTGAACATCAAACATGGGGTAGCAGTTAGCAGAAGTTGGATGCTGACTTTCCTTTGTTTAGTCTTAGGTTTTCATGCTTCCAAAACTAAATGGACACACACCATCAAGTGAAAAACAGAACTGAAAACAAAAATCCCTTTACCTGTATAAAAACAAAACCGTACAGTAGATTAAAATTGAAATAATTAATTTACTTTATCTTTTATATTATGATAGCACCCAAAAGGCCACCAATCGAGGTCAGGGTCCTGCTGTGCTGGACACTGTACAAATATATAGGCTGACATGGCCCTTCTCTCAAAAGATTTGAAGTCTGGGGCCCTGATCCCGGTGGAACCCTGCATCCTTGTAGAATCAGTGGAATTGCTTATCTGGAGCAACTGGTGGAATTATAGCTCAATTTAAGACAAGATGGAACAAGTAAGTGAAACAGGCAAACAAGAGTAGGGAAGGAGGAAAAGCATGTAACCTGCTGTGAAACATTGCACGTCTGCACACAGCTTGGTGAGTCTTAAAGTAAATACTTTATTTAGCTTTTTAATTCATCTCTGCTTGGGCAATGAAAACAGACTCAATTTCAGATATGGTCTGGGTCAACCACAAGACATGGGATTGATGCAGGAATTATGGGGAAAAGTCCTTTGAGGTTCTGTGTTGTGTGCATGGGGTCAGACTACTATACTGGTCCCTTCCAGCCTTAAACTATGAAATTTTTGTTTTGTCCGTTTTGCATTTAGGTTGTCATGCCCCTGGCACAAAGGTGTTGTGTTTTGGGTTACAAAATATGCAAAGGTTGTTTATTTGGCTTTAGTATTTTTTGAAAATGTTTCCATTGGAATTTTAGAGGGACACAAATGTATCTATTTTTAAATCTGTAAAACCCCGTTTTTCTAAAAACAGTTGAAGGCCAAATTCAACCTCTGTTCTTTAAGATAATATAGCATACACAGAAGTTTTTTTACACTTTTTTTTTCCTTGCACATGGCACCACCATAAAAGTTCCTAGGGAAAATGGTATCGCTTCTAGTAAACAAGTTACAAATATCTCTTGTATCACTACAGCCTTTAAGAAAAGTAAACTCTCAAAAGACGCCCAAAACCCCAATAACAATTTTAGAACATGTAATTCATCACAAAACAACCTGGAAATAATATAAAGGCCTTATCCTGCTCCAGTCTAAGTTAATGACAGAATTCCCATGGCTTTCTGTGGGAGCAGAAGAAGGTCCTAAAAGAATAAAAGGAAATCAGATGTGACCCACTGGAGATAATCATTAGGAAATAAAATCAGCTTGTTTTTTTCAGCATTTTTTCCACCCAGAACTTCAAAAAAAAACACAACAGGCTTGTTTGAGTAATTTCTGGGTTTTCTCCCCAAGCTAACTAAATTAGTGATAGCGGCAAAGAGTCCTATGGCACCTTATAGACTAACAGATGTATTGGAGCATGAGCTTTCGTGGGTGAATACCCACGTTGTCAGACCCATGTAGTGGAAATTTCCAGAGGCAGGTATAAATATGCAAGCAAGAATCAGGCTAGGAATAACGAGGTTAGCTCAATCAGGGAGGATGAGGCCCTCTTCTAGCAGTTGAGGTGTGAACACCAAGGGAGGAGAAACTGCTTCTGTAGTTGGCTAGCATTCACAGTCTTTGTTTAATCCTGAGCTGATGGTATCAAATTTGCAAATGAATAAATTAGTGATTTAACTCTGACTTTGAATTCTTGCTTTTATATTTTTTTAAGTAGTTCTTTCCTGTACCTTTTTTGAGTGCCATAATGTCTCTCAGTGCAGTGAATATTTTAAATGTGGTCTGACATGTATGGTGTTAATCTCATCATTAGTCCTTAAGACATGCATTCTATTTCTATACATACTGTGACAAAGCTCTGTCCTTGTCTCCATGGGTCCCGCATTTCCCAGCAGATTTCGCTAGCCTCAGAGGCTCACTGTGACTCTCCACATAACCCTTCTCTCTACGGAGAGAAGGGTCACAGTCTACTGAGCCATTTTCATCATAAGCCAGCAAGGGAGGTGAGGAGAAGCTATCCTCCCTTGTACAGTCTCTGTTGTCTCCCAGTCTCAGTGATTAATCAGGGAGGGGGCAAAACAGGTTTGGGGGGGGGAAGAGCCCAGGCCCGCCCTCTACTCCAGGCTCCAGCCCAGGGACCTTAATAGTATCAACTATGGTAGCTGACCTTTTAGAAACAGGACACGTATCATTCCCTGGGCTACTTCCCCACAGCAGCCTCCACTTCCTCAGGCTCCACTTCACCCTTACCTCAGAGCCTCCTTCCTTGTGCCTGATATGGTGTGTACTACTCAGCCTCTCCAACAGCGCAACTTCCTCCCATAGCTCCTGACATCCACACCCACCAGACTGGCTGGGAGGCTTTTAACTAGTTTCAGCCAGTCCCTGATTGGCTTCAGGTGTCCCAATCAACCTAGCATTCTCCCTGCCTTCTGGAAAGTTCTTAATCGCCCCAGGTGTCCTAATTGACCTGGAGCAGCTGCCATTTAACTTATCTTGGTACCAGGGATTTGTTTAGCCTGGAGCTAATATATCTATCTCCCAATACTTTTCTATAGCCTTCTGGCCTTGCCCCGTCACAATACACTACGTGTCTTATGTATTGTTCACATTTTAAAATATTAGTAGTTCGCTATCACAAGCTTCTTTCAGTATTCATGCTTTTGAATCCAGTAACTTTAAAATTGCATCATGTAGTTCTCTATTCCTGCACAACTGTTGAAATCAAATTTCATTTTTTCCTTAATCCAGTTACAGTAGGGAAGTAAGTTATTTTCCACGGTGACATGACATTGTAAAACTGTTACCTTTAGTATATTCTGTTTAATTATTTCAAGATTTTATATTGCAATAAAATACCAATGTAACGCACAGGAAAACAAACCTGTTTGCTATCAGAATTTGAGCTCTTGCCTGTTGTACAATTAATCTCAACATTAACATTGCCATTGCTGTTTTTTTGCTTTTATTTGTCTGTTTGGTTTAAATCAATGGTACTCAGACCTCAGTGGTTCAGGAGTCAAATTAGCAGTCAACATTATCCAGAAGAACCACAGTAGTGTGAACTCATTGTTTCATTTTTCTATAGTACCAGTCACATTTAAAGAGTATATGCTCTGATAATATCAACTTGTATTAAGTTATTAACTTAATTGATTAATAACATAGTAAAAGCATCCTGATTGGTTAATAATTAATTCAGTGTTTTAATATCATATGCTGCAAAGAGCCACAGGAGACACCATTAAACAGGCATTTGCAGCTCGAAAGCTGCAGTTAGGGTATCACTGTTTTGTTTATTGATTCTCATGATTAGCTTAAATCGCCTGATCCTTGGGATCTAACCTGTGGCTTTTTAATGCATCTGGTTGGCAACGCTTGTATATTTGTGCTTTGAAGTCTAGTGCACTCAAATACCTGTCCACTAGTGTAAAATTAGGATAAAGTATAGGAATGATAGATTTGGGGCAAATATTTATGGGAATGAATCCTGCTCTGCTGAGAAACACTGCAGATGGACAAGCACAGCAGAGGTGAATTAAGAAGAAAGTCCTAGAGCATTAGATAGGTAAAGACTCAGAACGTTAACTGTTAAGCCTAAAAATTATTGGCTTTCTGTGTGTTCTCAACTCTCACCAGGACCAACATCATATTAAATGTTCAATCATGGATTCACATTCAATATATTAAGCAAAAGTCACTATATGTAGATAGGTTTCAGAGTAACAGCCATGTTAGTCTGTATTCGCAAAAAGAAAAGGAGTACTTATGGTACCTTAGAGACTAACCAATTTATTTGAGCATAAGCTTTTGTGAGCTACAGCTCACTTCATCGGATGCACACTGTGGAAAATACAGAAGATGTTTTTATACACACAGACCATGAAAAAATGGGTATTTATCACTACAAAAGTAGTGGCCCCCACCCCACTCTCCTGCTGGTAACAGCTTATCTAAAGTGATCACTCTCCTTACAATGTGTATGATAATCAAGGTGGGCCATTTCCAGTATGTAGATACTTTCATTTCACCTCAGTTATTTTGTTCTGTTACCTCCTCCTGTTGAATTGTTCTCTCTGCTTTCTCATTACAGCATTGTTCATTCCTCACGGATGCTAAATTATCTACCTGCTCTCCTCCTGTAACACTCTGATTTTTTTCATGCCATATATACACCATCTATATAAGTATAGCTCTTCTTTCCTTAGCTTTGAAGTTGTCATTTCTTTTAATTTCCTTAAAAGAAATGACTATTAGTCATCCCTTTACTTTAACAGTACACTCTGGTGACCACTTGCACAGCTTGATACAAGCTGACCATGAAAGTGTAAACCCATAACTTTCCAATGTTACAAGTACATCAAATTCAGATTTAAAAAACTAATATAAATTATGTCTGTATGTGATGCACATCTTTAACAAAGGGCTACTGGAAGAGAAACATGTCAAAGCCAGCAATCTAAATCAGATGTGTGTAAATCCAAATAAAATTTACACACATGGGTTGGGGGCGAAACAGCCTCTATCCAAACATTAGAAGTTCCCTTGATATAAGTTTAAAACTTTTGGAAGACAAATTGATCAGTATAACTCTAAATCAGTTTTTGGGGCCCTCAGATAACAAGATACACAGTGATGATATTGCAAAGTTCTTAAAAAATTGCTAATTTCAATCTGTATACCATCAGCCCCCATCTCCATATAACTGATAGACCATAAATTCATGCACCAGCAGAGCAAAACCACACTTTGAAATACGTTTTTAAATTCCAGTCTTGCATATCACTGTGGCTCTGTGTGTATGAAGAGAATTAACATGTTAATCCAGGCTTCAAAATATCAGTTTTCCATTTTAAGGAGTCTGCCTGCTTTCTTGTTCTCTGTTTCTTAAGATTAATATTTTTCTCTCTCTAATTAAATTGATGAATTAAAACTCTGTACCTAATCCAGCACCATCATCTTTAAATAGGAACAAAGAAGCATACATTTATCTTCTTTGCTGAATCATAAGAAATGTTTCATTTTAATTCTAATTTTTGAGATTTACAGTCTAATTTCTTCCCCCCTGTAGTCAGTCATTTTTTTAATGGATATTGAGAAAAGCAATCTGTTCATTTGGGAAATAAAATAAAATTATCAAAGAAGCGGACAAGATTCCAGATTCTGTACATTCTCCCAGAAAGAGATGTGATATGCTGAGTCAATAAGAGACAAATACAGACTCTCAAAAGGAGGGGGAAGAACTTGAGCTAATTCTGAAAAATGCATGTAAACAGACTGGATAGTAGTGCAATCAATCACTATATTACTGCATGCAGTATACAGTAAAAGGTGGGGACAAACAGATTCCTGTAAATGTTACTTACGTGGTACTGCAACACCATATTCCTGTGGATTCTCTGACACAACTTTCTGCTTGAGCTCATTTAGTCTGGCTCCTAAAGAACCTAAGCAATAAGGAAATGAAAACTGATTTGTTTAGGTTCTGAAAGAAATATTGCAAACAGAATGAAGGAATATTTTCAATCTCACAAATAGGATGCATGATGTAGGAGAGGGTTTAAAGAAATCTGTGCACGAAACAGCAAGAACTCATGTCCCACCCCCATTCTACCTTAAAGAGCATCACTAGCAGCAGCTTGAATCCTAAATGGCAGGAGACCAGATATTTATCCAGTCACTGTAGCAGAAACTCTATGTTCACAGCATTTAGTTTTTCTGGATACCCCCCAGACTCTAAGCTACCCCGGAAAAATACCTAGACTCAGAGTTGCTAGGCTTACTGAACTGCAGAAAATCTTACTGAGCCTCCTTTTCTCTGACATTCAGTTTTTTATAAATTATTCTAACAGCTAAACATGCCTAGGTCCTGGTCAAAACTTTTTGGCAGGAAATCAGGGTAAACTACAGGACCTTGCCAAGACTCAGAGTGCTGCTTTGGAGCTTCTGGAAGGGAATTTTTTCAGCTTTTCATTTTAAAAGGTCTTTTTAAAAAAATGTTGATGGAAAAATTTCTGACCAGTTTTGCAACATACCAATCAAAACCACCAGTCTCTGCTTTTCTCCCGGCTTCTGCTGATATTTAGTGACTTCTTCATATGTTAGGAACTCAGATATGTCTGCTTGCTTTGCTTGATTCTGGTTGTTGTGTTTCTCCTTTCGACTTAACCTAAAGCTCCTCCGCAAACCAGCTAAAGAGCAAAATATAACAAACATTGTCCAAGCTGCTTGTCTTTCAATAAGAACTAGTATGGTGAAAACTGGCTTGTCTTAAGCATCACATGCACCAGTTTGTTTATAATGATGGGGAAGGGTAGGAATAGTAGAATTCTTAACTCCATAAAAGAGATACAATGAACCCCCTACTGTAGCATAAATACATCTATTCCATGGGAAGTTCATGACAACTAACTGCATTTGTTTATCAGGTGGAAAACAGGGGAAAGAGGTATTTGAGTCTCCACAACAAAGGAGCTGCCTTGGGATGAATTCTTCTTGAATCCTTGGTGCCAAGCTCAGGCTTCGTCAGTGGCCTGTTGTATCCTTGCATGCAGTTTTCGAGTTAACAACTGACATGAAACAAATTCAGATGAAAAGCAACTTGATTTAAAGAGAAGCATATTATTATACACACAAATTTTACAGGAAAAAGTACTGGGAATTAGGTTCCTCACCTATATATTGTCCATTGAAATATCCCTCACAGTCACAGTCTTCTGTTAATAAAGATGATGAGAGAAGGGGAAGCAAGATGTTACAATACCTATGTTATGTGGTTTGGGGGAAAAGACTTTGCATCCTGTATTATCAATATAACAAGTACTAATGATAACTAGTTTAGCCCATGGCTAATGCCTTATATTAAATTGCCATTTAATGTCTCAGAATACATCTCTCAGTAAAAATTTTTTTATTGATCATCGCATCTGCTTAGAGTTGCTGTTAGAGAACATTTAAGCAATATAAATACTATATGCCCATAAAAACAAAGCAACTCAGAGGAAGGGCTGGCATTCATTCGCTACCTTCCCTGGTACATAGGATTGCAAATGGATCTAATAATCCAGAACACTTCTTCTTGTTAGACTCAAGCACCATTTAGTACAATAGTGAGAACCACAGACGAAGCATCGCTCTGAACTCAAACTGAGAGTCAACAAATTTAATTTTAATGTTGTTTCTGTGCTAATCTCTTGTAAAAAAAAAGATAGATAAAAAGCATATTATAAGACTAACACTGGCTTTTTATTAGATCTCTGGGTCATTCATATACAATAATATACACAAACCAAGAGCATGCACAGTAAAATTGTAATCACTAGAATCTGCAGAATGTAATAGCAATACACAGTAAAATACTAAAAAAAGGGTCATACTTGCTCACTTACTGAAAGAAAACAGCTTGGCTTTTTATACTTTAAGGGCACTCCTGCAAAACGTTACACACATTAAAGGCAACATGCTAACTTTACTTAAGTCCTTAAATAGCAAAAGATGCCAGCCCAAAGAAAGGACTCTTTTTTTCTGTCCCAGATATCTGCATGTCAGTCCAGTAAAATTAATGGGGTCTTTTCTTTCAATGCAGGTGAAGAACAGTGAATTGTATGCCTACTGTAACAGAATATATTTGTAGTAACTTTAAGTATAAGATTCTTAAATTTTCCCCCTCATCGCTGTAACTAGCTGTTTGCTTCTCTTCCTCCCTCCTAGAGCCTCTCCCCCAAAAGCTAAGTCACTGGCCATCTGATCACAGAAGGCAGTTTGTACTATGAGCAAAGTCAGTGGAATTAAATTTCAACACCTGAGACATCCTTTTCTAAAGGAGCACATTCAATGTGAGAGAATATCAGCAGGAACAGCAGTTAATTAAGAAAACACCTGCTGTTTAAAAAGACAAGGAAGTAATACAATGGCTATTATAAACAACATGATCTTAATTCAGTTGATTAGAATGAAAGTAACACAGTAAAACGCAGTGCAAATTAATAGCCAAGACAATGAAACCAGATTGACACTGGTGTCCCAGAAGGTGTCAAGGTAACCCTTTTTTTCTTTTGTAGAACTCCAAACCACCAAGTTCTGCATCAGTTTATAATTCCTGTTCACCATGTGGACCTGAGCAGGCTGCAGAAGGTGTAAATTAACACAGGATTTGGCCCATAGCAGCTAACAAGAAGCACTTGTCCTAGATTTGGAGTAAATTGGAAACTGAGTATTTTTGTAGATACCTTGAGGTTAATTCTAATTCAGAAAAATGGCTGTAGGAGCAAATTGTCTTTAGCATTCCCCTTTGCTTTGGGAGTTCCTGTCTGTTTAGGAAAAGGCATTGTTTGTTCATACCAAGATAGGCAGAGCACCTACCTTTCTCAGAAGACTGATCATCTGCAGTTAGCGTAAAAGATAGAAGTGAGACAGTTAAAAGATGGGCAGACAAATGACTGAGAATCACAATGGAATGAAGGGAAGAATCTTCTTGCTTGTGAGACTAGTCAGTAAATTATACTAAAAGAACCTATGAAGTGATGTTTCCCCTTAATATCTCCACACCAGCTCAGGAGCCTTTGCAAAAGTGTAGTATTAAATCCAGCAGCTCTGATTAATTGGCTTCCTTGAGAGTGTCTTATTAAAAGCAGTAGGAGGCAATTGGCATTACATGCATCCTAACAAAGGCTAATTGAAACCATTTTATTTGGAAACACTTTGATTTATAAACTTATCTGACAGCTGTCTTGTGTGTACACTCTTTCCTCTCTGTGGCTAATGTATATGTATATAGTACTGAAAGGTAAACAGATGGTGGGTGTGAGAGACCAGAAGCTCACTTGTTGCACTGGGGATGCACATTCATTTGTTTCCAAAAACAGCAGTTTGATACCTAGCTTTATTTACTTGATTTCTGAAAACTTACACTTTGATTTCCAGCTGTCTTGGCTAGTGCACAGCAGCATCTTTATTTTCTAAATCGATGTGGCAATACTGGGGCAAATTCTAGCCTCACCCATCCACATGGCACTCTTACTCCAACAAGAGCTGAATGTAAGCATTCAAGGGCAGCATTTAACCAGTTACACTTAGTGGTAACACAGAACTGCCACCCAGCCTTTCATCCTACATTCTATGATCCCAGGGGGAGTATCATTTTCTTCTTCTCTTTTGAGACCCTTTTACCAACCCCCCCCCTCCATCATTAGCAGCAGCAGCTGCTGCTGCTAATAAACATCCAATAGCTGTTTCCTTCCACATGCTAAAGCTTTCTTATGGCATAGACTCTAAGGAATGGGATAGTGATGTTAAATTCTCCTTTCAACCTGAAGCACAGATGTCCAGAGGTGGGAAGTGTTCCCAACTCTTGTCTGTTGTGTTTTTTATCATGAATCTTTGATTATTTTGTGAGGGCCTTTAAAACCCCAGTTTTTGAAATCATAAAATTATGTGATAATCTCAGCTTCCCCCTTAACCCCTCTTTTCTTATTTTTAAGTACATTTCTGGCCCTTGAGCTTGCAAAGAAAAGCTTGAAAATGTGACCCCCATTCCACCCCGCTCACAGACACCCCTAAAGCTCAAAGCCCAGCTGGTAAATAACAAGTCTAAACTTTATTATGTTTAACATCTCATTATTTTAAAATTTCATTATTTTTAATTCAATCTTATGACTTTGGGGGCTCATTCATTGGTTTTCTTTTTTGTTTTGTTTTTGAATGCCTGGGACTCGCAATACTGGGCAAAACGCAAACCCAAATCCTTCCATGTGACAGCTAATCATCATTAACATTATCTATGACATCAGAGTAACAAATATTTAAGCACATGATTAAAATCATGTCAACCTACTGGAAAGTTGATATATCAACAGTGAATTCATTGAAGAAATAAAGATCTGTTGAAACTTACATAATGGCTTCTTTACAGTTTTGGAGTTTTGCAGAGTGCCTATAGTTCTTCTATAATTCAAACGCCTAAATATTAAATAGTTATACATGAGTGACTTATAAAGAATTTTAATATAGACAATTTATACATATGATGGTATGGCAGACGAAAAATTAAAGCTTTTTCTTGCAACACTTTGCAAAAGGCAAACTTATCTGATTCTGGCTTAGATGCATTTTTTAAACATTATATTTAATGACTTCAAATTGTCACTGCTGGGTAACAGGTGGAAAAGAGATGCCAAAAGGTGAATATACCAGGGAAAGACTATCACAGAAATACATCAACTACCTCCTTGCATTTAAGGAGCTCAGAGCCGGCCTGACACACACTTAATATTTTAGTCTAAGGTAATATCTGATGCTTTTCTCTTATTGTTTTAAGAGATCAGCATGTGTAAAAACTCAATACTAGTACAAAATATGTAACACAGATGTTGAAATCATTGCTAGATCCTTCCACTTGCTTCACTTCAAAATCTCATGCTGTTCAAAGACATCTCCATTTGCTGCAAAAACAACAAGGAATCCGGTGGCACCTTAAAGACTAACAGATTTATTTGGGCCTAAGCTTTTGTGGGTAAAAAACCCATTTTTTCAGATGCATGGAGTGAAAATTACAGATACAGGCATAAATATATACACTGGCATATATACACTCTTCATGTGCCAGTGCATATATTTATGACTGTATCTGTTTACCCACAGAAGCTTAGGCCCAAATAAATCTATTAGTCTTTAAGGTGCCACTGGACTCCTCGTTGTTATTGTGGATACAGACTAACATGGCTACCCCTCTGATACCTGGCATTTGCTGCAATGTTCATTAATAGCATTTACAGGCAACAGCCCCTTTTAGACTCTCTCATTTTTGCATAATGCAGCCTTGTTTGTCATGGAAACTTCATAATAGCTCTGAACATTAAAACAAGAAGAAGCCTTAATTACTACACTCTGCTGCTGCAGTAATTCACTCCCACAGAAGCACTCCACAGAAGTGGTAACTTGGGCAGGCAGTTCTGGTTTCGCTTTCCAGTAGAAGAACTCTCTCCTGAGGAGAAAACGGGGAACCCCATCCTCCACCAGGAAAAACTGAAGCGCTTGGAGTAGTTTCTTTTTGTTCTTGTCTCACCAGCTGTGGTGATTATTCACAGTAGTTTCTCTTCATCCGGACCTTAGCAGTTGTTCAGGGTGGCCTCTTTCAGGTCCTCTCCACCTGAATTGGTATCACATGGTGGTATTTCCCCCCATCTTTGGCTCCAAGCAGCATTAGTATTGCTGTGCCCCAAATCCCAGTGGCAGTAGAAGCTCTTTAGGGGGAGATGTCTGTAATGAATCCCTAATGGTGATGGTAAGTCTTCAAGGCAGCTTCAGGACTTATCTCCAAGTGATAAAGGTCGCTTTTCTGTATGGCTTCCCTGCTCAGCTCAAACCCAATCAGAAGTTGCCTGGAAAAAAACTTGATCTTCTAAGTAGAGGCAAGAGATGCCACTTGAATGGGTAACAATGAGTATCTGGGTATAAAGGGGAAAAGACCCTTTTCTGTTCTTGTTGGTCTCCTCTCTACCTGTAACAGAACATCTTCTTTCAGAAGGATGATTTTAACACTATGTAGAAATCACACACACTCTTACTCTGCTCCTAAGAGGTCACAATTTAATGAGAGTAGGGTAGAAAGGGTAGAAAGTTGGCTAGATTGTCGGGCTCAACGGGTAGTGATCAATGGCTCCATGTCTAGTTGGCAGCCGGTGTCAAGTGGAGTGCCCCAGGGGTCGGTTCTGGGGCTGGTTTTGTTCAATATCTTCATAAATGATCTGGAGGATGGTGTGAATTGCACTCTCAGCAAATTTGTGGATGATACTAAACTGGGAGGAGTGGTAGATACGCTGGAGGGCAGGGATAGGATACAGAGGGACCTAGACAAATTGGAGGATTGGGCCAAAAGAAATCTGATGAGGTTCAATAAGGATAAGTGCAGGGTCCTGCACTTAGGATGGAAGAAGCCAATGCACAGCTACAGACTAGGGACCGAATGGCTAGGCAGCAGTTCTGCAGAAAAGGACCTAGGGGTGACAGTGGACGAGAAGCTGGATATGAGTCAGCAGTGTGCCCTTGTTGCCAAGAAGGCCAATAGCATTTTGGGATGTATAAGTAGGGGCATAGCGAGCAGATTGAGGGATGTGATCGTCCCCCTCTATTCGACATTGGTGAGGCCTCATCTGGAGTACTGTGTCCAGTTTTGGGCCCCACACTACAAGAAGGATGTGGATAAATTGGAAGGAGTCCAGCAAAGGGCAACAAAAATGATTAGGGGTCTGGAACACATGACTTATGAGGAGAGGCTGAGGGAACTGGGATTGTTTAGTCTGCAGAAGAGAAGAATGAGGGGGGATTTGATATCTGCTTTCAACTACCTGAGAGGTGGTTCCAGAGAGGATGGTTCTAGACTATTCTCAGTGGTAGAAGAGGACAAGACAAGGAGTAATGGTCTCAAGTTGCAGTGGGGGAGGTTTAGGTTGGATATTAGGAAAAACTTTTTCACCAGGAGAGTGGTGAAACACTGGAATGCGTTGCCTAGGGAGGTGGTGGAATCTCCTTCCTTAGAAGTTTTTAAGGTCAGGCTTGACAAAGCCCTGGCTGGGATGATTTAATTGGGGATTGGTCCTGCTTTTGAGCAGGGGGTTGGACTAGATGACCTCCTGAGGTCCCTTCCAACCCTGATATTCTATGATTCTATGATTTTATGAGAGCTTGTGGTGCTCAGGAGCAAGCAGGATCAGGTCCTTACTTTAGATCGCTTCTCGGAACTAATATAAGGATGGCCATATTGGGTCAGGACAATTGTCCCTCTAGCCCAGTATGCAGCCTTCTGACAGTGGGCAGTGCCAGATGCCAGACTAAAAAAACTTGCTATAGAGTTTGGATAGAAAACAGTTTATCTTGCTGTCTACCTTCCAGCTGTCCCAATACTATCCGTGATCAGCAGTTCCCATGTTATTCCTTGTTTTCCCTTATTCTTGAAAAAATAGTTGTTCAGGGTCTTCTCTCCAATATCCTGGACAATTCCAGACAGTGTTTTGCTGTCGCCATATGTTATGCGTCTTGGCAGCTTCTTCATTTATCGTTGTGCCAAAAATATTTTTCATGTGCTTAAATGTATATGCTGTGGGCTGAACCTCTCATTTCCATATCTGTATTACATAGTGCAGATTTGTATTATGAACTACAATCTACTTGCTGCAGCTCAGTTATTTATACATGGCTTAACCAATTTACATAATTTTTATTTAGGAAATTGTGGCAACCTTTCTTCTAGATTTCATCTCAAGTCTGTTTTGGAAATGGCCAAAATGCTAAGTAGTAAAATCAACCTAAACTATACAGTCTTCTTGCATAATAAAAAGGAAGGGCACCTTGTTTCTCCACTCTGGCAGCTGCACTGTGTAACATTGTCCATTCATATAGTCCCTTCCACATAAGCATTTCACCTTAACAAAATTAATTTAGCCTCAAAATCCTCACTGTGTAGAAGATATAGGAAGTATTATCTCCATTTTGTAGAGGAGAAAAGTGAAGCACAGGGAGAAAATTACTTTGTAATCACAAAATATCTTCCTGTGTAAAGTATTTCCAATAATGAAACAAATTTAACAATGAGAATACTTGTTATGCAATGTATAAGGCACCTGTGGAGCTCACTGCCACATGGTATCCATAAGGTCAAGAACTTACAAAAGTTCAAGGGAGAGACATTTACACTAGGTTAAAAAAAAAAAAAAAAGGAGAAACTGTGTCAGCCTTCATGCTTCAGGACATAAACTAACAATTTATTGCCAGAGCTAGGAAGGCTATTTGCATCATTTGTCCATTTTGGGGATTTTGGCACCTTTCTCTGGCGCTTTTGGTATTGGCCACTGCCAGAGACAGGATGCCAGAGCAGATAGCCTCCTAGCCTGATCCAGCATTTCCTATACTTACTTCTTATTTTATGACAGGAATGTCCCCAAACAAAGTGCTGAAGCACTAAAAGCACCACAAAAATAATATAACATTATGGTTATGATTAATGAATGTATCATCCTATAACTTTCACTGACAAACCTTTCTTGGAACTGTTTTGAAGGGATCAATCCTGCCCTGAGGTTGGTATCACCAACACGCTTTGCTTGCCACCATGTTGGATCATCCTGGCTCACAACTTCTAAGATGTGTCTTCTCTTAAATGGCAATCCTGCCTCCTGACAGGGAATGGCTTTGTCCTCTTTTGGATTATAGCAGAAGAGTGCCCTCATAAATACCTTTAAGAAAAAAATAACATACTCTTTGCCGTTTGTCCCATGTAGAATTTTAAAGCACTTTTAAAATGGCATTTCCACATCCCTAAATATTATACAGATTATATGTGGTTTCATACTGAAGTGGAGGAGTATCAAGCTACACTTACATACAAATCTGATTTGCTCACTAGTGTAGAAAATGTGACTTTGATAGTACCTAGGAAAAAGAAGTAGTGTGGTAGCACACCAAGGCCCAAAGAAGGACCGGGGCCTCACTGCACTGGGCACTGCACAAACATCTACTCAGACAGTCCTAACTGAAACCATCTTTGTCTAAATAAGGACAAAATATAACAACTGGCTAGAGGGAAAATAAGGAGAGGGGCTATGGAGGGGGCGATATGGTAACAGTAATGGAAACACAAGTTTGTGTAGATTAGCTATTTATTTATAAAAGTTATGCGATTATCTACAAAACTTTTTTTGTACTACACAAATGGACACCAGATTTAGAAGAATCTGTAGCATGCAACTTGCCAGTCATTATTAGGCATCTTACTATGGTCATAAGAGAAATGGAGCTTGAAATATATTTGAAAGGATCTAAAAGTGGATTTGTGAATTGATTATGAGAGGGTACTCCATGCATGTGGAGCTGCCAGGAAGGAGTCCTTGAAAAGGATTAGCAGACACTGGAGACTGCAATTGTTGGGCTGGTTCATGACCAATATAGACAACTGGGTAAGAACACAGGAGGTTTAGTCATGAAGAGTTTTGAAGGGGAGGACCTGAAGTTTGCATTTATGCAGTGAAGAAGTTGGAGTCAGTGAAGGGACCTCAAAGTTAGTGGGGTAACACTGTCAAAGCTATGTGCAAGGAAAATGGCAGCAGCATTTTGACTTGAGTGGATTTCAAGAAGGCCAGAGAGGAGGTGGTTACAGTTCTCAAGGTGAGAGATGGTGCAGACCTGGATAAGAGTTTTGGTTTTATGGAGCAAGAGAAAATGCTAGATATTGGAAATGCTACAAGGGAAGATGCATCAAGAGTTAACCAGACCCTTAGTTCGTGGTAAGATAAAGTGTAAATCTACCCATTCTAGCCTGTTGTGCACTACATGTTCTACTGTGCACTTTGAAATTGGTGTAAATTAAAGTGCACAAAGAAACTTTGAGTGCACAGCAGCAAGGTCCACATGGCCACTTCATGTGCGACAGGCTAGCACAGAGTAGATTTGTACCGTAGCTTGTCGCAAAATTAGTGTTCATATGCAGCCTGGAATCTTCCAAATTATTTCTGTTTAGCAAAAATTTTCTTTCTGAGAGTACCATATTATTCCTTTAGATATAAATCAATTTAGGGTCTCATTTTGCAATTGGTATTTCCCAATGAAATCAGCAAGAGTCTTCCATGCACAAGAACTGCAGAACTATGCCCTAGATTATTTATTTATTTATTTATTTTTAAAGAGAGATTTCAGATGGGTTGCATACCTTGCTGTCCTTCAGACGATCTTCTTCTTTGATGGCCGGAATTATTTTTAATGTTATTGATCCCTGAGACTGAGCCTGAGAAAAAGAGAAAAATACATTTCTTTCAATTGAAATAGTACAAAGAAACGCTGCAGCACACTCCGATTCAGTTTCTGGTGCTAGTGAATTGTCTGATCATCTCAGCCTTCACATGCCAAACCAAGGCATTCAACTTTGAAAAGACACTTTTTTAGCTTTATGGTAGTTACCATGATGCCCCAAAGATGTCAAGTGTATATTCTGTTCCTTTTTATCCCTTGTATGTGTTACCCTGTGCAGTATCCTCTTAATTATGGAGACCTGTATAGTGACTCCCAAGCTAAGCCTATATTGAGGCTTGCACTAAAAAATCTCTCTTCATATTTAATTATTACATTTAGTTTCCAATTTAGACACAATCCACAGGATAGAACAGTCTGTCTTTTTAAAGTACAATATTGACTAATTTTTGCAGATAAAATTCAAAAAGGTTTTGTCATGTTTTCTATATATTTTTTTCAAGTCCGTCTAGTTAAATAACTACTGTCCCCAGAAACTCTATACTTCACACACATTCTAACTTCATCTCACATATAGGCCACTTTTGAAACTTTAAACACAGCTATTCCCTTTAGTCAGCAAAACCGTTTTGATCTAAAACAAAATTAGCTGGTTGGCTGATCAAAGCAGTTCCATCTGCCTCCCTGACCCATCAGCTTCATTCCTCACAGAGACCATGATGAGCCAAGGCACAAGAGGGGATACGAGAGCGGTGGGAGAGAAGGTTCTCTTGGGGCAGGGGCCTTGTGGAGATGAGCAGGTATGTGAAGGGGTAGACATACGCAGGGCTTGAGAACAGGAGGGTCTGAGTAGGGATTTAAGCAAGAATGTGTTAATGTCATAGGGGGTGAGGAGAGAGGTTTGCAGCTGTGCAGGAAGCCTACATGAGACCCATGCCTCTGAGATGAGGCTTCGTTCAGCTCCCTAGCACACCACATTATGAATACACTGCATATATTTTAAGGATATATTTTTTTAATCTGCGATTCTCATGTCATGAACCAATCATAAAAGAGAAGCTCTTGGTCAGAGCCATAGATAACCTAGGTTATTATATTCGTCATGTTCAGAATCAAACTCGAAGTTTCATGCAACTTTCTTAACTTTAAAACTGAAAGTTATTTATTTGATTATAATAAATTCATAAGATGGAATAAATTCAGTTGGAATAAATTCATAAGCTGGAATAAATTCATAAGCACATTGTAAAGACAGCCCAATTCTGTCCTCAGTTATACCTGTGTAATATTATTAAATGAGGGACAAGGGTCACCTAGCTACTGCTTTAACAAGCCTACTTGGTAATAATAGATCTCAAAGTAAAAATAAGAGCAGACCAAAATCTGACTAATTTCTTCTGGTCGTTTGTGAAGCACAGCAATCCCATTGACTTCTTTTAGCTCATCTCCAACATGGACAAGACCTAAAAACAAAATAACTAGATTAGAACTAATACTTAGCCTGCTAAGCTGCTGCTCACCTATTACCCACACCCATGTTAACCGTATGTACGTCATGACTTTCCATACTAGTCCTGTACTCTGCCAACATTGCACCTTACAGTCTCCTGCCCTCACACTACCTGGCATTCTTCAACAGTAACCCTAAAAATCACCTAAAATGGCAATGGGGAGAGAGAGGACACTGCAAACCATGTGTCCCATGGTAATGGTCAGGAGGAAGCTTAGTGTCTAACCACACTGTCTGTGTACTGGACCTGCAATGAGGGACCATTTTTACCAAGCTGTTTTGGTACACTGCATCTGTGTCTGAATCCCCTGTCTGCACTTCGGACATTATACTGGAATTGACTTGCAAAGATGGACAACTCTTAGCAGCTTATCTTCTAATTCTATAATTCTTCATGCTGAAAGGCCTCTGCTGCTGTGAGCTATTTATAGACAGCTCTACACAGCATGGTCTCGGAAAGTCTAATGGGCTAAATTTTGAAACTATAACCTAGAGCGAACCATAAAGGGTTTAGCTTTGCTCATGCAGTCCAGTTTTGTATTCCTAGTAATGTCAGCACTAGTTACTGACCATACTAGAACTTCACAACAAAACAAACAGCCAGCAGCTCTCGATCATACCAGAGGAACATCTCTCTCCATCTGTTTTAAAGTGGAATTCCCAATGACGCCAGTGGGAAGTTCTGCATAGAACTGGACAGAATGATATGGCTCACAATCACTATGGGTCCACACATAAAACATTTAGTATGTCTTACTGATTTATGTAAAACACAAATGACCTTATTTCTTCGCTGACGTCTACCTTTTACAGGAAGACTTAGTACTAACAATAGGATAACTGGGTAGACACTCTTATTTCAAACTGGTATTTCTACAAAAGAATATTTAGAAGTTCTTTGAAAAGGGTCAGCACAGTAGCCTTGGTTTGTTACATCAACAGTATTCGGAGCTGAAAGCACACCAAGGTTCTGGGTTAAAAGTAAAAAAAAAAAAAAAAAAAAAAATAGCAAGGAGGCTTTTTTAAGTCAAAATTTGAGACTAGTCTTCCTCATTCTATTGGCAGTTTTTATCCTATTAACCATATTACAGAGAATCAGATTAAAAAGGTGCATTATTGATGTGAAGCGGAAATGCTAATGGCACTGTTTTATCCCCTTCACAATAAATGTCTTATCAGATTATTTTAATATGAAAAATGCTAATAAGAGACTAGAAGAAAGCTGTAATTTGCTAATATTTCTTCATCATAGTAATACATTAGCATTGGGATTGTATTACTATTGTATTAAATAGGACAAATTATAACAAAAATTAATGACACTTCAATACTTTATTTGCTATGTATAAAATCTCCATGCAAGCCCAATTCAGATCATTTAATAAATTCTAATAGAGCTGCCTCTAAGAAGTGCAAGGTCAAATATATTAGGAATTAACCCTGTGGAGACTGGAGACATGCTGAATAAGCATTTATTTGGATATCTGTAGGGTAAATGTCAGTATTCAAAGAAAAGAAAAGGAGTACTTGTGGCACCTTAGAGACTAACCAATTTATTTGAGCATGAGCTTTCGTGAGCTACAGCTCACTTCATCAGATGTTTACCGTGGAAACTGCAGCAGACTTTATATACACACAGAGAATGTGTGTATATAAAGTCTGCTGCAGTTTCCACGGTAAACATCTGATGAAGTGAGCTGTAGCTCACGAAAGCTCATGCTCAAATAAATTGGTTAGTCTCTAAGGTGCCACAAGTACTCCTTTTCTTTTTGCGAATACAGACTAACACGGCTGTTCCTCTGAAACCTGTCAGTATTCAAAGAGCTAGCTTTGCTGGTGAGTAACCAGAGGATTTCATTAGAAATTATTAGAACCTTTTTACAAGTTTTAAAATGTAGTTTATAAATTGTATTTTGAAACTGCTTTTATTCAGAAACCTACCACTGCGGTCAGCTGCACCACCTCTCATGATTCTCGCTACAATCACAGCCCCTGTATGCTCATCCCTTCTGATGGTGGCACCCTGAAACATAAATAATAAACCAGGATAAAGCATTTATTTAGAGCACATTTAATGGCAAAATAATGAAAAAGCTGATTAAATTTTGAAAAATTGAATTTGGTCTTTTCGTATGGGGAAAACAATAAGTAAATTTTGTCTTCCTTCGTAACTAATTTTGCTATCAACCCAACTTGTGTTTGGACACTGCTTTTATATGATAATCAGATGGGTGAGTACAACTGCAATCCCTTCTACCACTCTACTCTGTGCTGATTAGGCCTCAACTGGAGTATTGTGTCCAGTTCTGGACGCCATATTTCAGGAAAGATGTGGCTGAATTGGAAGAGTCCAGAAAAGAGCAATAAAAATGGTTAAAGGTCTAGAAAACACTACCTATGAGGAAAGATTGAAAAAATGTATATTGTATTTGGGAAATAGTATATAAGTGATGACTGTTTTGTAATGCAGAAGCACAAGGGGAAGAATTGGGGTTGAATGCACAACCTTAACTTTTGCTTCTGGACTCTTTAATATAGCTTTTTTTTTAAAATGGAATTTCCTGGTTTGTTTTTTTTAAAAGAAAAAATTTAAATTTGAAATATTTAGTCAGACCCTGTACTACACAGTGTAAGTTCCAGGAGACATGGACTTACTGAATGAACTTTATAGAAATGAAGAAAGAGCTTAGTGTGTTATGCTGTGTACATTTTCAGTTGCCAAAGTTCACTGAATGAGACAGTTTCATATGAGCATTGCTTCATGTACACCTTAGGAGATACCCAAATTCAATAGCTGCATAAGCCTTGTAAACACGTATGGTACAGCCTTTGCTTAGAATGAAATTCACTCCTGTTTTCTTACCTCAGGGAAAAGCTCCTGCTGCAGAAAGATACTGGATAGCAGTAGGAAGCTACCAGAGCCTTCCCCTGCCCCAAGGAAAGGCTCCTGCAACAGGGCGCTGGTGGAGCAGAGAGTCTTTCCCTGTGGCAGAAAAAGGCCCCGGCAGCTCCCTGTTGCAGAAGTCTTTCCCTGTACTGGGGAAAAACTTCAGCAGCAGGTCACTACAGTGCTAAAAATAGCAGTGTAGACAGGGAGATACCCCTTGAATTAATAGAGACGGGTCACGAGTATCTTTATCCTAGTAGCTTAAGCAGTGCCTCATTATCTATACTGCTATTTATACTCATGTTGGGGCGGGGGAGTGTAGTTTATGTACTCTACACGCTGCCGAAAGGAGTACCCTATACATACCAACGGCTCTTTATTCTTCACTAGACGAACAATTTTAACTGATTCTTCATCAAAATCATCATCAATATTGTCTGGCAGAGGGGGAAGGACTGGGTCAAAGTTCTTCTGGGCAACAGTATCATGTACTACAAGCATTGCCTGTACAATAAGAAAAAAATAAAAGATTAAAATAGTTCAGGCAAAATTGAGAAGGATCCCATTTCTCTTATTCCAGACATAAGAGCCGGTGCAAAAAGAGCATGTCTACTTGGGTGAAAATCCATGTATTATTTTCTTGGCAAGCATAAACTATTTCTTGTCTAAAAGAGTACAAAGGTTCACAGCTAACATAATGAGTTTCTGCTCTGCCTGCTTTAGTGAAAAAGGAAGCTAAAGATCCAATTTGCGTTAAAAAGACACCTGCATACTCAAAGAAAGAATCCTGAATATTTCCTCTTCCCTTCACCTTTAAGGGCCTGATCCTGTACCTCCAAAGTCAATGGGAGTTTTATTATGGACATCAGTAGGAACAGGACCACACACTAACTGAAAGCGAGGGATGATAAAGAAAGTACTTAACTGCTTCTTCAAGTCACCCTTTAAAATGATCTTGCTTGTGCAGATTTTTGTGTATAATAATGCTTTGCCTTTTTTGCAGGCAAATCCTTTACACTTTTCATCTGCACCAGTCATTTGCTCTTCCCTGGAATGATCTAGCCACAGAGGCATTTAGCATTAGAGAAAAGAAATTGGAAAGACTGCATTACAGGGTTTGTCTTACATCAATAAATATTTCACATAATGCATATTTGGAAGCTCAGATGACAACCAACCATACAACTTTATTGGGAGTCTACTGGTATATTATAATATCACATTCTATGGCTACATTTTCTTTTCTTTTTTTAATTTAACTTTCAATAGCACAGGGGTCGGCAACCTTTCAGAAGTGGTGTGCAGAGTCTTCATTTATTCACTTTAATTTAAGGTTTTGCATGCCGGTAATACATTTTAACGTTTTTAGAAGGTCTCTCTCTAAAAGTCTATATTATATAACTAAACTATTCTTGTATGTAAAGTAAACAAGGTTTTAAAAATGTTTAAGAAGCTTCAGTTAAAATTAAATTAAAATGCAGATCTTATGATCTTATCAGTTTAGTGCAGTGGTTCTTAACCTGGGGTGCATGCACCCCTTGGGGGTGAGAGATGCCCTTTCTTGGGGTGCGAGATATGCGAGATTTTTTTTAGAAGGTAAATCATTGAAAACACAAATTAAGCACAGGCACATAAGTACAACTACTTTGTTTCATCAAACCTATGTATTTATTAACATTATACATTTTTAATGATTACTGTAATATACAAAAAAATTCAGTTTTCAAGTTTTTAAGCTAATTGTGGTATAATTTTTGATAAGGGCTGCAGAGCCCTGGGCTGGCTGCCAGTACCCCAGGCCAGCAGGAGGGCTGAGCAGGGCCGGAGGCCCGGACCCCGGCTGGCAGGGGGCCAGGCAGCTGGAACCCCAGACCAGCAGTGAGGTGAGCGGGGCTGGCAACTGGTATCCCAGGTGGCAGCAGGCTGAGCGGGGCAGATGGCCGGGACCCAGGCTGGCAAGGGACCAGGGGCCGGAACCCCAGATTGTCAGCAAGCTGAGCTGGGTGGCGGATAGAACCCCAGACTGGCAGCAGCTCACTTGCTGCCGGTGTGGGGTTCCGCCAGCTCCTGCCAGCTGGGGTCCCAGCCGCCAGATCTGCTAAGCCTGCTGCTGGCCGGGGATTCCGTTCACTCAGGCCAGCAGCAGGCTGAGCGGGGCCGGCAGCCGGAACTCCAGACCGTCAGCGGGCTGAGCAGGGCCAGTGGACAGAACCCCAGACCAGTGGTGGGCCGCTCAGCCCACCACCAGTCTGGGGTTCTGTCTCCCAGCTCCTGGCCGCCGGCCCCGCTCAGCCTGCTGCTGGCCTGGGGTTCCATTCACCCAGGCAGGCAGCTTGGCTGAGCGGGGCTGGTGGCCGGGACCCCGGCTGGCAGCAGCATGCCAGTAAAAATATAGTTCGCTACATTTTGATTTGTGGCCAAAATGTCTTGACTAGCTCCCAAAGAAGCCCAATTGAGTTAACGTTTGTCAAACATATTGCAATCTTGAAAGGGAAGGAAGGTGCTTTGTAAATGCAAAATCTGTATTTATAATATTTAATTACTGCTGTCCTATGATTATTGAGCAGCCAAATAAAATCCACCAGCTCCCGCCCCCCAAATTAATAGGTTACAGCTGGGCCTGTAACAACTTTTCAACAAACTGAAGTAAAAGTGGAGAAGGGGTTCTTGAATAATAGCAACTGAAATAGAGTCATGACCATGAGGCTCCACAGCTTCTTCTAACTTATTTTTGCAACACTGTCAAAAACAAAACAAATGGTAGAAGAGAAATAACAGTTCACTGGGCTCATCTACTCAAGCGCTAATGCACAGAACCAAAGTTTTGTTGCTTGCAGTCCAGTTTTTAAAGTAACTAAGATTTTAAACGGGCTCTCCCAAATAGCACGTGGGCTCTGGTAATTTATGCTCTCCCACAGCTCCAGGGATCCTGCACTGACTGAGACAGATGAGTTAAAATAAATTCTTCAGAACAGTCATGAGCCATAATAAACTCCATGGATTAACAAAGAGAGGCCAAACAGGATTCATACTTAAGAGGTCTGCAGTGTGGTGGTGAGGATGGATTATAGTGAGCAGAGGGCTGGTGGCGGCAGTAAGATAGGGACAATGCTCTCGTCTCCCACCTTCGAAAATATGTAGGAGGGAAGGATAATGACCCTTTCTGCATTAGGAACCCCACATGCCACAAACCCCTGGTCTCCTCGATCTGCAGAAGGAGACAGATTCTGCACACCTCTTAAAATGTCTAGGAATTAGAACCCCAGCCCTGCAATCCTTAGGAAGCATATTTGGGGTCTCCCCCTCCTCTTAGGTAATCTTAGTTGTAACTTGCCCTTAACAATATTTTCTGTCTGGGAATCATGCTGAGAATTGCATTGCTTAAGAGTATGTGTTTTACCCGAAGATGTGGTGTTGACAATAGCTGAAGCAGCTCTTTTTCTTCATTATTCACTGGTGTAGTTTGCAACTCTTCAATTACCTTAAAAAGTATTGACAAAAGAACATAAGGCAATATATTTGCAACTGGATTTTCTGGTCAACGTTTGTTAATTTCTGTCATGTTTCCAAGAAGCAACAGTAACTGAAATATGCATTTAAAGGCAATTTCAATAAAATATGCATGTATCCTGAAAGATATGCATGCCTCTAACCTGCTTTATTATGTGTATATTATAGTAGTGCCTGAAAATGGACAAAAATTGAGGCCTTTAGATGTAAACCCTATACAAATACACCAACACCAAACTCTAAGTTGATTAACTAGCCTTTACTAGTACATTGTCATGGGGATCTGATAAATCATTTCAAATATTCCAAATACTTCCAGGCTTTCCAGTACATGATTACATCCCCGGCTAGAGCAGTGGTTCTCAACCAGGAGCCTGGGACCCCCTAGGAAGGCCATAAGCAGGTTTCAGGGGGGCCACCAAGCATGGTCAGCATTAGACTCACAGGGGCCCAGGGCAGAAAGCCCAGCCCCACTGCATGGGGGCTCCAAGCAATTGCCCTGCTTGCTACCTCCTAATGCCGGCCCTGGCTTTTATATGCAGAAAAACAGTTGTTGTGGCACAGGTGGGCCTTGGAGTTTTTATTGCATGTTGGGGGTGGGGGGCTCAGAGACCAACTTCACGTACCACTGAAGAGTGACCTTCCTGATCAATTATAAATGGGTACAGATGAGTTCTATCAAGTTTTCCTAAGCCAGAAAGATGTAAGCTGTGATGTTTCTCCATTCTCTTCAGTGTTTATACCATGCTCATTACTGCAATACCACAAAGCAGCCAGAGAGACTGTTTAACTGGCCCCTGCAGGATTCCCATTTTGTGAATGGGAACCACCAGGTGGCACAGAATCAATGTAGGGTGTGTAGCCCCCTGCTTCTCAGCAATCCCTGAATACCAGAACTCCTCCTTGAGCCTCTAGGCAGCCAAGCACAACTTAGAGAAGCCTTGGGGCTGTTCTAGGTTGTGTACTAGGACTGGCCCAGGATCGGGGGGGAGGGATAAAGGTGATTTAGATCCTCCTTTTACACTATAGCCCTTTCCCCAGAAATACACTGAGGACAACTCTGGGATGGCCCAGGGCCTGCCCTGTATACCTTATGACGGTGGGGAAAAAACTGACAAGAAGATCAATATTATTCACTGATAGCTCCAACCTGTGTATTTAGTGGGAAAACAACAGGAAAGAATTCTGTACAGTTTTATGCAACTTAGTTTACTGTGTATATTGAATATATTTGTTAAATAACAGTAAAACTAAAAGAGGTGTTTTAAGTTCCAAAGCTAACAGCATAAATGTGGAAACCTCAATTTTTTAAATGAATTATTTGAAAGTCAGTTATTCTTTTACTTCCTTGTTTCAGTGTAAAAAGTTGCTGAAAGTACAATTGCCTAAAGCAGAAGAATGGAACACAGGACTTGCCAGACTGGATCAGACCAGTGTTCCATCTAGTCTGGTATCCTGTCTCTGACAGTGGCTAGTACTGGCTACTTCAGAGGGGAAAAACACACAGTAGCCAGTCTTGAGATATTGTCTCCAGGGAAAAGTTTCCTGCTAACCACCACTAGCTAGAGGTTGATTTATACCTTGAAACCTGAGGACTTATATCCTTGCCAAAGCTGTTGTTTGTTTTGTAATATTTACTGTTATAACTCAGGATATTTTTCTTTATCCATATAAATGGACAATACTTTTTGAGTTATGATAACATCTTAGGCTCAGTAATATCTTGTGGCAGTGAATCCCACAGTCACAAGTGCTGTGAATTCTGTCCAAATGCTCCCTCAAATCTTCCTTTAGGAGTCTGTGTAGTCATGTGTAGCAACAGAAATAGGAATCAACTTTTTTTAAAAAAATCTGAGTTGTGTTTTAGTTCAGTCCAGGCAAGAGTAACGTCAGTTGGAGACTTTCGGTTCTTTAGTATGTAACTTAAGCATCTAAGACATTAAAAAGAATTTACTGGACAAACATACTTACATCCTCAGCTAAAGCTGCTGCACTATGTAAAACAGGAGTTGGACTCTGTCTTTCATAATGGCGGAGCTTTTCATGAATCTGAAACACAGGTGTTTTCAGGTAAGTGACTACAAAGGTCAAGAATTTCTGATTTTTTGATACTGCAACGTATGGGAGGTCATCAGCTGAAAGTCCTATTGCTGAAACCAGAAGGATCTATATCCAAAGGAACTATCATCAAGGGAACTAATGCATGGGAGATTTTCAAAGGTGCCAGAGGGTTTTAGGAGCACAAAGCCCAATTTGTGCTCCTAAATCCCTTATGCCTCTTTGAAAGAATCTCCCTCGCAGCGTAGCTTGGAGGAAGAAAAAGAAGACTTGATTAATGTCTTTGGCCTTTTGCCTTAAATAATCATCTAACAGCTGTGTGTTAGTACTCTGCCCATATTCAGACCTCGGTGATCAGACTTACAGCAGGATCAAATCACTACTTTGGTGGATATACTCATCAGTGATGATGGCAAATCAGCAAAGAAAAGGATTTAAATGAACATTCTAATATTACTTGTGTGTTAACTGGCATTACTAATTCTATAGTGGTACTCCTCAAATTAGTCTTCTGGACACTTTTTATTAGTCCATGATGCATATTTTTATATCAAAAGGGCATATTCTTTTGTCAAATATCGTAAGTGTTAATGCAGTGGTCCCCAAACTTTTCAGGTCATGCCCCCACTTAGCCCTGACCGCCCCCTCCCCAGGAGCCAGGGCTGAGAACGGAGACACAGCCAGGGGCCAAAGCTGGGGGCGAGGCCAGGAGCAAGGGCCGAAACTGGGTGGTATAGCCTCCCTGCTCCCTAGGGAGGCTGGCCCATGCCCCCTATGCCCTCCCAATATTCTTCCATGCCCCCTAAGGGGGGCACACCCCACAATGTGGGGACCTGTGTGTTAATGAATGATCCATGTCAAGAGCAGAATAGTCCTGCTCATATTTTTGCTGCTGTTAGTTCTGTAGATGGGAGAATATCTTGTGAAACTGAGGTTCCATGGTTTAAAGGAAAATTCTGATTATTATACTCAAATGTTTTCATTACTGGGCACTGATACTTGCATTTATCAATTAGTTAATTGACAGTACAAAAAAAACAAAAAAAAACCTCCAAATAGAGAAAATTATTATTTTAACAAGGAAAATATCAATTATGTGACAAGAGAATCCCCCCTTCTGATTCTTAGTGATGGCAGCTTTCTCCAGCTTCAAAATGACATTCACTCAAAACTAGACAGAAATTTCATTTCAGAGCAAGCAAAAAAGAGTAATTTTCATAGGATATTGTTCATGTTTGTTGATTTAAAGTTACTTTAATATACGTATTTTCTCTGTTCAGTTTTCTCTTCTATGTAAAAACAAGTAAGCCTTGTGGCAAAGAAATTAAGAATACTGAGAAATACAGGCCACAAAGAAAAGGAAATTTTGTGAAATAAACATTTACCTTCATTAGATAACTCAGACTTTTTTCACTGAAGACATCTCTAAGGAATCCCATTTCTTCTTTGTGATTTGAGTCAGGTCTTAGCTGGGATGTCAACAGGGCCAAAGTCTCATGCAATCCTAAATTAATTGCAAAATGTACAGAACAAAAGCTTTGTGGATAACTAATATCTCTTATCTGAGTTCTGTTATTGCATTGTTTATAATTTTATTTGACCAGCACAATAAAATTGTGCTTCTGATAATTAAGATTATACTGAGAGTTGCAGCTTATTTCCAATCATTGCTCTTGATTTTCAACTCCCTTCTTAAACAGCAGATCTCACATGAATTTTCTACATGTGCCAAAACCAGCAAAGGCAGAATCCACTGATTCTAAGACTGTAAAAATCACAACTAGTAAAATTTTGCTCCCTGTGTCTGATGTTTCCCTACATTCCAATAACATTGAGATTTCTTTGAAATACCCAATCACTCATCTACATTATATCTTGGACCTAAGCTAGAGTAACCCACTTGCTTGCATTGCAGCATTGAGAGGTGTAAATAAGGAAAGAAATAGTATGAAGGATCCATCTTTTGTTGATGTGGACACAGCTGCAAAAAGATAAACACATACATGGAATTAAGTGGAAGGTCACAACTTTTATTAAACTTTAACACAGGGGAGGGGGACACTACCCACCCATTACTCATACTGTCCTGTACCAGGCATTTAATTTGTTCCAGTGTAAGGGTTACAGGGCTCCTTACCATATAAACCTACCCCAAGTTACAGGTTTCCTCTGCCAATCTGGCAGGACTCAGCTGTTTCTGAATCCTAGACCCACCCCCACCCCATGAAAGAGACAGAGGGCGCAGAAGGGTGGGGATCTCAGCTTGCAAAAGGGCAAAAGGTCTTACCCTATCCCATGAGCCCAAGGCTCATCACCAAAACCCCAGGTTTTTTAGCTCTGGGAACCGTTGGTTATTCTCTTAACCGCACTGGAAACTGGCCCCAAGTTGCAACGAACAAACAACTCAACCCAAGTACCACAATTAGGTATTGAGCACATTCCTACTTAACCACTATGGCTTGAAGGTGCTGCGAGGAAAGCAAAAAGATCCCACCCGGAATGGAGCCAAAAGAAGTACCACAGGGCCCCTCCAGGTTAAACCCTGGGAGGTGGGAAATGCTGGATAAGCTGCACTCATCCCCACAACTGGCCAATGGATGCTTGACTCCCAGGGGAGAAGACCCTTGGTGTTTCTCAGCAAGTGTCTCCCTTCCTCACTGCTGGGCCTGTCCCCTTTCACCGCTGGCCCCATCAAAGTCCCCCTCTGTTGAGGCAGGTGGGTGGCATTTTTTGTGTGGAGGAGTTACCCACAGAGCTAGCTTAGCATTCAAGTTAGCAGTAACGCAAGGAACCTACAGGCCTATATCCTGTAAGGCATTCCCTTAGGCAATTAGCATAAGTCTTTGAGGCCTATGAGCCTTAGCATAAGTAAGTTGCTCAACAGTGACCCTGAGTTTTGGGGAACTGGGAACATTGTGCTGGAGGGGGGAGTTTGTACAAAACAATACCAGGAACACTGAACTGATACTAGGCTTGAATATTTTAGGATAAAAATGCTGGCAGATGCTTAACCATGGACTTGCCTTGGCAACAAACTGATGTACATGATAAGTTAAAATAATTAATATACTAACCAATATAGGATAAGGATACCTCAACATTATTAGGGTGAAGAAGTTCATTATGGGCAAAGGAAGATGAGCATTTGTATGAATATTCATGGAAAATATCAGGCCCTATAATAGGCCAGACCACCATGTCAAAGAGATCTGGACCATCGAACTTATTTGGCATGCCAGGGACAGAGGAGATGACTGCTTGTCTCTTACCACCAGATTCCTAAGGTTGTGAGTATATGTAAGGAATGGTAAAAAATATCAGTGTCACTTTATATTACTGCTATCTTTGTATGGGGTTTGGAGCAGTTGTGTCTTTAAGTAGTTTTATTAGCCCAATGAGTAAAGTTTTGCTTTGCCCTCAGAGTGAGTGTCACTGTTGTGCACATCAGTGTCGGGTTGGGAAACCCGAACTTGATAACTTTGCTTCTGTTGTGCCTGATTCTGGGACTAAAACCCCATGATCCCCAACTCTTTGAATTAGTAATTACTGGGAAATTAATAATAATCAATAACCACTAAAGAATCAGGCAAGGGGGGGACTCTGTGGGAATGACTACACTGCAGCTGACAGCATGCCTCCTTTCCCAGATAGACTTGTGCTAACTCTGCTTGAGAGCATGCTAAAAATAGCAGTGTGGACATTGCAGCGGGGTGGCAGCTTGAGCTAGCAACCGGAGTGCAAGCCCACCCAACCCTCTAGGTTTGAGCTCAGGTGACTAGCCTGAGCTACCACCAATGCAGCAACACCCATACTGCTATTTTTAGCACACTAGCTCAAGTAAAGCTAGCATAGGTCTGCCAACCTGGGCTGGGAGGCAAGCTTCCACTTGCAATATAGACATATCTCATTCAAACAGCTAATGGGTACACCTAGTGCCCACCCTACCCAGTTTCTTGATGATTCTGGCCCAGCCAGCAGAGTCACCCTCCCTAGCTCTAGTAAGTCTGCAGTCCATTAGCTGTTTGAATGTGATTTCCATTGTAGGCAAGCAGGCTGGCAGGACATGCTCTGAGAGTGGAACTAATGGAAGAAGGAGGAGGAGGAGGAATTTATAAATCGGAAGAATGGGAGCCATGAAAAACTCAGTGGTGAAACAGTGCAAACGCAAGGATGATGTGCTGTGAGGACTACAGTCCAGGGATTTTTGCCAGTTTTAGATTCAGATTGCAGGCTTCTTTACCTCACTGGAGAAGAACATTAGAATTTCTGCAGGCTGTGCAAATTGCAGACTGTTGCTGCAGAGATTCAAAGGGAGTTTGAAAGAGACTGTGGAGCTATCACTTGTTTCCCAGACTTTGAGGAGCTTGTGTGTCCTACAAAGGGTTTGGACACCGTTCCACAGACAGAAAGGTAAATCCTCCTAGAGAAGACTCCTAGGGAAGTGTACACAGATATGTGCATTTCAATTTGTGATAGTATCAAGTACTAAACTTAGGGGAAAAAATCCTGCATGTGTTTATCTTTAAAGTAATAAGTAAACTCTTAAGCATTCATATATTCAGAGATTTAGTAAACATTTTCCTTTAGAGATTGTCACTTTCCTATCTGATTTAACTCTGGACAATATATGTAGACAAAGTTCTGAAGACTAAGCTCTGGTCTGTACCATAGCAGAAAGGTAAGTTGAGACACAGGAAGGGGAAAGAAATACCATACCGGACGTCTGCATGCTGCCTTCCCGAAACCCATTATGCTAGTTAATGAAATAATGTTTTTAGAAGTCTGCACCAACTGAGCTGATGGATAGATATGCCATGATCTGTCAGCTCCTATTAACTGACGCTGCTAATATTGTCACAACAGGTGCTATTTATTTTGTTAGCAAGAAGTGACATAAAAAGTATCAGAACTGTAGGAAAATTATCATTATTATGTATGCATAGAAACAGTGCTATATGCTGACAGGCCTATGTTTGTCCAGTAGGAGCCTGGCCACCAGATTACATTACTGAACTCCAGGTGTGTCACCAAACTATGTTCCTCCTGAAATCCATCTCTTTATCCAGTCCCACTCATACTGTGATATCCTTGATTTTTAGTAATTGCATTGATGGGAAATAAATGTGTACATTCTCAACTCTAGTTTAACAAATTAAATTACAGATAGTGCTTTGTGTGAGAACATACTAGGATTTCAGCCATTCTTAAATTGAAAGCATGCAGACCAATTACCTGAATCTTCTGATAGCACTGGCATAGCTGTTGTCTTAATGCTAGAGACAAATGTTCAACTTAAACCAAAATGATTTTCTTCTTGCAGGACTGTGATTCAGAAACAATCCTGAAATAAGGAAAGATAATGTCTGAAGTCAAGTATCTCTGACATACAGATATTTTATTATCCTGTATAATGCTAGCATTTTCATTTAGGGCATCCTTCTTTAGTAGGTTGCTTGGGCTAAATATGATTAGGGTCCAATGTGCAATGAAGTTATGTGGCCTTACAAATAGTAACATAATATCTTTTTGCCAAGGTGTTGCACAGCTCTCTGATGCAGCATAATCCAGAAAATAGCCATTTCCATGCCTGTTCGAGCTCCTCTGCTTATTAGTCCACAATTTTAGGCACTTCAGGAATACCACAGAGGGGAAAACTGATAAGTGGCTAGGAGGTGATGGGGCAGCAGGAGCATGCTATAGGAGGGGAGGACCAGAAGGGACTTAAACACTTGGTGGGAGCAGGAGGAGAGAGCTGCCATCATATATCAGTTTTGCATTCTGTAGGAACAGTTTTGGGTCCAGGCATAAGCAGGTGCAACTCTCATTGAAGTCAATTATTTTTGGCTCTAAGAGGAGAAGGTAGCATAAATTAGAGCAGAGCTACTTCATTGTACACCTCTGTTATTTCTTTTCTGTATTATGCTTCCCCTTCCACTAGTGAACAATTTCTCAATTTCAAATAGCAACAGTTACTCTGCCTCTTGAGATCATACATTCAAGACAAAACACCCATTATTGAGAGTTGTAAACGGATTGGGGGTTCCAAAACAATCTTTGTACTTTACTCTTGTAAAATTAATTAAAATATGCTTTGCAGAGAAATATGCAACAGCACTCAAAGGTTGCTAAGAAAAAAGCCCTTTATCCTTTAATCTTTGCACACTACATGTCTTATTTGGCAAAGTCATTATGGACAGGTCACAAAGTTTCATTCCAGTATGCAGCTGGAAAGCTTGTCTCTCTCACCAACAGAAGCTGGTCCAATAAAAGATATTACCTCCCGCAACTTGCCTCTTTCATTCCAGTGTCATGTGAAAGTAGTTTCAATGTGTTGCCTCTCATCTAAATATTGTTTATGAAGATTGCATCCTCAAATAGTTCATTTTCTTATTGCTCGGTGGCATTTGTCAGTTTATGTCAGTTTATCCAGCTCCCCCAGGATTTTATAGAAGTGACTTTACTCTGTGATATTAATCTCAAAATAGTATTTGCGTTTGCATTCCTTTCTGCTTTGAAATGTCTAATTAGTCCATCTGGGTATTACCATTCAAAGAAAACTTTATCTCAGTTCTCTCAAGCTCATGAATACAGACCGGGCTGAAACTTCATTTAACTTCACTTGCATGTAGTTAGTGGATTCAGTCAGTGTCACAAACAAACAATGGGTGAGCTGTGGGTCAGAGTTATGAATTTAGCAAAGAGGGAGAAAAACCAGAAAGTCAGGAGTCTACTACAACTATAGAAAAATAAGATCCCCTAGGAAGCATGTTAGTTTTGCAAAATTCCAACAGTAGCTCAATAAACTAGAAATAAGTCTCCCCCACCCCCTATGACCTGGGAGTTCCTTGCTGCTGTTTAGGTTTGTTCAGACAATGCAGACCAAATCTAGACTGTAAACTCTCTAGGGCAGAGTCTGGTCTCAACATCTGTGCCTTCCACAGGGCTGAGCACATTGTCACAAATAATCATAACGAAAAATGTATGACATAACTTGCAAAGAATTTCACTTCTTTAGACAGTGCACTGAATCTGGTTATTTTATTAAAACAAACTAGATATCCCCCCTACTAACCTAGGGGAAAGCACTAGGGATTTTTTATACCTAAATTTGTTTTTATGCTCTGCAGATTAATTATATAATGCCCTGCAGAGGGTGAATTACTGTATGTGGAAAATGTTCCTTATAATTAAGTTTGTCATGCTATGTTAAGCCAATTTATTTTTATTTAAATCCATAGAAAATATTGTAATCAATCCTTTTTTAAACTTTCCTTTTTCTACATAGTTCCAATAACAGGCTGTCAAAGTACAATCATTTGAATAACCTCCCTCATTTTCCAATATCAAATTAAGCATTAATGCAGGCAAAGGTTATGTATTAGATAAAACCAAGTGGTCTCATTAATGTCAATGGGGACTATTCATGTGCTTGAGGCTCAACATACAGTATGCTTTAAGCACTTTGCTGAATCATACCCAGAGCGCTCAGCACCTTGCAGGATTGAGCTCGAATGTTGTCCAGTAGTCCCTCTAGCCCAATATCCTGCCTCTTACAGTATCAATAGTGAATGCTAAGAGTTTCCTCCAAAGTATGTTTTGTTAATTGTGATGCAGACCTTCATTGTTACAATTTATAAAGTGGGTGCGATGCATGATCTTGGTCCAAATAATATAGGTGTTACCTTAGCAAGTCACCAGCCACTTTGTTTTAAATCTAACCTTCTCTTTCACTTGCAATAATGATATCCTGTTTGGCATTCTGTTTTAGTTTGCTGGCATACTGCTGCTTGTAACTACTTCAGGCTTAACTGTCTGGTTCAAGAGGTTGGTACCAAGTTTTTTGCCATGCCCATAATTTTCAGAACTGGTGACCTAATAAAGAATGGGATGGTGTTCCAAGAAGGAGTGCTAGGCAGAGACGGGCTCCACTTAACGAAGAGAGGGAAGAGCATCTTCGCGAGCAGGCTGGCTAACCTAGTGAGGAGGGCTTTAAACTAGGTTCACCGGGGGAAGGAGACCAAAGCCCTGAGGTAAGTGGGAAAGCGGGATACCGGGAGGAAGCACAGGCAGGAATGTCTGTGAGGGGAGGGCTCCTGCCTCATACTGGGAATGAGGGGCGATCAACAGGTTATCTCAAGTGCTTATATACAAATGCACAAAGCCTTGGAAACAAGCAGGGAGAACTGGAGGTCCTGGTGATGTCAAAGAACTATGACGTGATCGGAATAACAGAGTCTTGGTGGGATAACTCACATGACTGGAGTACTGTCATGGATGGTTATAAACTGTTCAGGAAGGACAGGCAGGGCAGAAAAGGTGGGGGAGTAGCACTGTATGTAAGGGAGCAGTATGACTGCTCAGAGCTCCGGTACGAAACTGCAGAAAAATCTGAGTGTCTCTGGATTAAGTTTAGAAGTGTGTGCAACAAGAGTGATGTAGTGGTGGGAGTCTGCTATAGACCACCGGACCAGGGGGATGAGGTAGATGAGGCTTTCTTCCGGCAGCTCACGGAAGCTACTGGATCGCATGCCCTGATTCTCATGGGTGACTTTAATTTTCCTGATATCTGCTGGGAGAGCAATACAGCGGTGCATAGACAATCCAGGAAGTTTTTGGAAAGCGTAGGGGACAATTTCCTGGCGCAAGTGCTAGAGGAGCCAACTAGGGGGGGCGCTTTTCTTGACCTGCTGCTCACAAACCGGGTAGAATTAGTGGGGGAAGCAAAAGTGGATGGGAATCTGGGAGGCAGTGACCATGAGTTGGTTGAGTTCAGGATCCTGACACAGGGAAGAAAGGTAAGCAGCACGATACGGACCCTGGACTTCAGGAAAGCAGACTTCGACTCCCTCAGGGAACGGATGGCCAGGATCCCCGGGGGACTAACTTGAAGGGGAAAGGAGTCCAGGAGAGCTGGCTGTATTTCAAGGAATCCCTGTTGAGGTTACAGGGACAAACCATCCCAATGAGTCGAAAGAATAGTAAATATGGCAGGCGACCAGCTTGGCTTAATGGTGAAATCTTAGCAGATCTTAAACATAAAAAAGAAGCTTACAAGAAGTGGAAGGTTGGACATATGACCAGGGAAGAGTATAAAAATATTGCTCGGGCATGTAGGAATGTTATCAGGAGGGCCAAATCGCACCTGGAGCTGCAGCTAGCCAGAGATGTCAAGAGTAACAAGAAGGGTTTCTTCAGGTATGTTGGCAACAAGAAGAAAGCCAAGGAATGTGTGGGCCCCTTACTGAATGAGGGATGCAAACTAGTGACAGAGGATGTGGAAAAAGCTAATGTACTCAATGCTTTTTTTGCCTCTGTTTTCACTAACAAGGTCAGCTCCCAGACTGCTATGCTGGGCATCACAAAATGGGGAAGAGATGGACAGCCCTCTGTGGAGATAGAGGTGGTTAGGGACTATTTAGAAAAGCTGGACGTGCACAAGTCCATGGGGCCGGACGAGTTGCATCCGAGAGTGCTGAAGGAACTGGCGGCTGTGATTGCAGAGCCATTGGCCATTATCTTTGAAAACTCATGGCGAACCGGGGAAGTCCCGGATGACTGGAAAAAGGCTAATGTAGTGCCAATCTTTAAAAAAGGGAAGAAGGAGGATCCTGGGAACTACAGGCCAGTCAGCCTCACTTCAGTCCCTGGAAAAATCATGGAGCAGGTCCTCAAAGAATCAATCCTGAAGCACTTGCATGAGAGGAAAGTGATCAGGAACAGCCAGCATGGATTCAACAAGGGAAGGTCATGCCTGACTAATCTAATCGCCTTCTATGATGAGATTACTGGTTCTGTGGATGAAGGGAAAGCAGTGGATGTATTGTTTCTTGACTTTAGCAAAGCTTTTGACACGGTCTCCCACAGTATTCTTGTCAGCAAGTTAAGGAAGTATGGGCTGGATGAATGGATTATAAGGTGGATAGAAAGTTGGCTAGATTGTCGGGCTCAACGGGTAGTTATCAATGGCTCCATGTCTAGTTGGCAGCCGGTATCAAGTGGAGTGCCCCAAGGGTCGGTCCTGGGGCCGGTTTTGTTCAATATCTTCATAAATGATCTGGAGGATGGTGTGGATTGCACTCTCAGCAAATTTGCGGATGATACTAAACTGGGAGGAGTGGTAGATACGCTGGAGGGGAGGGATAGGATACAGAAGGACCTAGACAAATTGGAGGATTGGGCCAAAAGAAATCTGATGAGGTTCAATAAGGATAAGTGCAGGGTCCTGCACTTAGGACGGAAGAACCCAATGCACAGCTACAGACTAGGGACCGAATGGCTAGGCAGCAGTTCTGCGGAAAAGGACCTAGGGGTGACAGTGGACGAGAAGCTGGATATGAGTCA